TCGACTTTTTGTATGTATGTTATGGCATAGAGATATGAGATGGAACATCTTCGCCAATAGTGAACCGATTTCAATTATTCTTCTTTTTTTTAAATTATACTATACATCACGGGGAAAATGGCCAAATGGCCTACCAAATCAAACCAAAATCAATTGGACCATTTGATTTTGGAGAAATATTGCACCTCCTAAGATTGCAAAACTAGGTGATAAAGTTTTTAGTTTCCACGATATTCAAATGTTAGCAATAATTAAACTTTGTCAAACATTATGTTTTAGCACCGACTACTGAAGCTGGAATCTGAATGTCAAAATGATTATTTTTTATTTCATTGAAGATTTTTACTTTATATTAGCCGACTTCAAATACTAAAAGTCTGTATCTTTTTTTGTATCAATTTTACGCGATATTTTAGAGTATTTTCAAGTATCAGTCAGCAGTGCGCTTAACTCGTTCACCTAGCGTGAAAGTATCATATCAGTTGGCCCAATCTTGAAAAAGAGATTTTCACTTCAGTGTATTTGGAAAAGCTGATTATTAAATCAATAATATAAAATAAAATTAATTAAAGATTATTAAATTAGCTTTTTTAAATCCACTGAAATGTGTCTATAATATCGAACTAGCTACCTATTGATATAGGATGCCAATAAGTCAGGAATAATAATTTCTATAATGTTTATCTATTTGTCTGTGCGTTCGGAATAATTTACGGACTGGCTGAACCGATTGTAATGAACCACGAACAGATAGAGAGCAATTCCAGAAGTGATCTAGACTATAAATTAATTGAACAATTTTTTAAATTTAAAAAAAAGAAATATTTATCTTAAATCTAAAAAAATCTGTAATATATTCTATCTAGGTAAAAAGTTATAATTCACCAACATCATTCTCAGTTTACTAGCGGACACATGGGATTAACCAATGTTAGGGCGTTGGATAGATCTGCATACTGTAAATAGACACGGGACGACCTAGAGTAGTATTTTAATTTTAATTTTAAATGTAATTTTACTTAATGTTTATATTTATTAATTTTAATTTTCTTTAATGTTATAGGTATTTAGATTATAATTTTTTAACAAATATGGATAATTGGTCTGAAATAAATGAATTATTATTATTATTATTATAAAACCCGGGTGGTTGATTAGTAAAGAATAAAAATAAAGACTATTAATTAGGAAGTAAATATGATGTCGTTCAAAGAATAATGACTAAAACAACATTTCTACTGTCTTTTCAGACTAGAGGGTGCTTTGCTATACATGACATGAATTTTGTGTTTTTTATAGAATAAGGGTGATAAATGAGCACACAGTCCACCTGATGGTATGTGGATGCTGTGGCACATAGACATCTACATTTATCCTCGATTAAGAAACAAAATGTAGATTGCGTTATCACCCCTGAGGACTGAGATGGAATGCCTCGTTTCCAGTAAAACAGGTCTCCAGAGAACTCACCATATGAAACCCATCAGCATTAAGCTGCTATTTTACGCTGGTATTCTGCGAGAGCGTGGTCCTTTCCCGTTCGAGCCGACCCAATCGTACTACAACCATAATTATTTACAAAAAAAAATCCAGATAACTTAAAAGCTCTGATTTAAATCTTTGACCCATTCGAGTGTAATAAGCAATACTTACTTGTCTCATATCTTCAAGCTAGAAAGTCCTTTGAATAGTTTAAATAAAAGTTTCTCCTTTAAGTTTCCATCCTTATGGGTGCATATTTTCCTTTAAATTTAAATGGGACACTTCATAGGACACCATTAATATCAGTTGACAACCGCAAATTGTTCTGTTTCTATTTATGTTTAAAGTCCACCAAAATTGACATTGACAGGTTGACAGGTTGACAGGTTGACAGTTTTGAGATAACAAGGATTTAACCGCTGCGGTTTTAATTAGTTCATCGGGATCGAAAAGCCATTACATTTCACTCCACTTGGGACGTGAATACGTAACATGCTCCATCGCACTTGCCGAGATCAAATTCAATACAGAGCTAAATGTAGGGAAGTTGATTTTCAACTAGAGTGTTTCTTTAAATGAAACTAAGTTTACGGATTTTATCACGCTTAATTTTAACGGGGGAGACTGGGGTGTTTGATGTCCTGATGTCATAGTTAGACCGGCTAAATTCAGCTTTTGAATATTAATTTTTGGTTAGATCTCCGCAAAACGCAAATTCCGTTAAACATCTCAGTCCCCTCCCCCTCTTCGTGATCATGGGTGCTGGAAAGCACCTGAAACTTCGGGAATTATAAAGTTAAAATTAAACGCGATAAAATCGATAAGTATTCGCGTAAATATAAGAAATCATTAGGAGTGGTTCTTTTATCAAGAAGTATCGGAATAAGTAAATGTAATATTACCAATACAAAATGTAAATCTTTTTTATACGACACCAGTTCTCAAAATGACCGCCGCCCATATGAAACACTTAAAGCCTAACAAGTTGTTTTTTACGACAATTTTCTTCGGCAAATGTTTGAAATTCTTTCGGTCTGAAGCAGAACACCAATTAAGCGGCCAATCCATACGTTTACGAAGTATAATTTTATTAACATTTGGTATCAAAGGTTTTCTTTCCTGTGCATTTTTCTTTGAAAGCTTTCAAATACTACTCAATAAAAACGCTACCAAATGGCGATTTAAACATGAATAATAGAATGTGTAGTTATTTTGCGAACATTATATTAAACATTTGTACATCGTAGAAAAAGAGATATTTAGTGATAACATGCATAATATTATCGTTTGCAATATAAATTATTTGTGCAGTATTGTTGTGCAAGATCTTAAAAAGCTATATTAAATATTACTGCCGCAGGTACGCCACGCAGACAAATCCAGCTTCTTTTGACTCACTTTGGATTTGGGATATGGTTTAGGCACAGCCTAGTAACTTAATAGGCTGTGACTTAGGTCCATTATTGCGAAGAATGTTTGCGATTACGTCATACAGGATTCACTTTTCTACCGACTTCAAAACGGAGACGGTACTCAATTCGACTCTTTTTTATGTGTGTTACCTCATAACTTTTTACTGGGTGAACCGATTTCGATGATTCTTTTTTATTTGAAAGCTGGTGTTTCTCATGTGGTCCCATTTCATCAAGGACTGACCAATAGTTTTTGAGTTAATCAAAATTTTTAATTTTAAATTATTATCAAAATTTACAATTCGATTCAGAATCTCCTCATTTATATGCCGTCTCCACTCTACATTTGTATGTTTATTAGATTTAATATTTACCCACAGTAAGTTCACACGTTCCGTACTTCCTTATTTTTCCAGTTTGTCGTAAGTGAATCAATATTTTTATCACTTACGCCGAAGGATGCTGATATGGTTCAGATGAATCTCTTTACACTATACAAATCCATTCAATTTATCAGATAAAATAAAAAATGTGCCAGTATTAGAAAACAAAATTAACCATGTTAGGACCTAATTCTAAAAATGTATGTCATTAACACTGACTATTTAATTTCATCTAAAGCCAACTATGCGACTGACAGTAAGTAAAGTGTAACAAAGTGTGAGGTTTGCTGCTGTGGTTCGTATGGAACCGGAGACCCTTTTCACTGAATAGGAGGTATTCCAACTTAGTCCTAAGAGGTGATGATACATCTGCATTTTGATTATTAATCAAGAATAAGCCAAGGGCCACAGTATTCACTTACCATACTATAAAAAAGTGAAACCACTTTGTAATTTTTTTGTGTTTACTTTTATCGTTTTTTTTTTTATTTATTTATTTTAATTTAAGTGTAACCATAGAGTCCTGGTAAAAAGTTAATTAGTTTTGTAAAAAAAAAGTGCTCGTTTCATTGCATTCAGTATTTAGGCTCTCGCGAGCGATACTGGCACGGCGTGTGGTCTACACTCGCTCCTCAGCCTGCGACAGGTTCGCGACATAAATTTACCCAGTTTCGTGTGCATGTATAGACCCGCATGGACTCTACGTCGCATCGCAAACTCCCGTGAATGGGCCGTAGCTGGAGCAAGGCGTGGACGAAAGTGCCTTAACTTTCACAGATTTCTGAGATTTTTCCCTTATATCGACGAAAGCCTGCACGAAATATTTCAAAGCGTTATCGGGGTAGAGGTTAGGCCGCGGGAGGGGTCTGGTGTCCTTCGATCGCACACCAATAAAAAGGTTTTTGACGCGGTACCTTGGCCCAAATTCCAGTCCAAATTAGGCTGTAAGCCTTTTAGCGTAAGGTCCAGGTTGGCGCCGCCAAGTAGACGCTTGCCGGAGGCCGCTGCGCCTGAGCAACCGGTTGACCCTCGCCCCGCGCCTACCCGCTTTCCCCGCGCCCTTCTCTAATTTAATCAGGTGTTCATTCTGCGTATTTTGAACTCCCATCATTGATAGATTCATGAGAATAAGTGTACCTCATGCCTCAACAAAACTCTGTACCAGTTAACTGCCAGTAACATGTTTTGTAGATTTACCGATCATCAACACAATCATTACGGCATGCTGGCGAATGTTAACAAGTCTGAAAGTATTCGCCTAATGACATCACATCAAAAACTGATTAACCGAAGTGATGTGCGAGGCGGCGGCAGCTCTGCGAGCTTTCGGTTAAAGCTTTCGCAAGCGCGTGCACCGCGAGTGGCGGCCACGCATTTTTGTCACGGTTATGAGGAGGAGCCGACGTGAAGTCGACGTACTTCGAAATCGCGTGCGGAGCGACATTTTTCACATCGATTAGTAATAAAATTTTATGCTCCTATTGCCTATCTCTTTTATCTTTCCAACGCTCGTCGCACGGAGAGAGCTTTGTTATCTGTACCATTGTGTAGTGCACGTGTCTCTGTGGCTTTCCGCGCTTATTTCGACAGTCTTTAAATCGACATTTTCATATGAATTCGCCGACCGGTAAGCATTCTACGGCGGTTGCTTGATCCCGCTCTATTATGTGCTGAATAAAGCAAGTAACCGATTAATAAGGGTTATGTTTGTTTGCATGCGCAGACGCATCGTCGTCGAACGAGGCCGTGCACTTGCAGCGACGCCTGCTGAGCCTCAGCTCTGAGCTGGTGACGCTCCGCAACCATCTGCACGTGGGTGGTGCGGGTGCCGGGGCCGGGGCGGGTGCTGCGGCGGCAGCGGGGGCGGGGGCGGGAGCGGCAGCGGGGACGACAGCGGGGGCGGCCACATGCGGCGGCTCGCAGCCGGCCGTGCCGCCGCGGGTGCCGCTGCTGCTGCCCCCGCCCGCGCCGGCGCCACCACTAGCACCGCACGTTCCACACCCGCCACTACAACCACCACCGGTTCCACCTGGTAAGATACGATTTTATACGTTTTACAGCTATGCTGCACTACATATAAAATATATATTATTGTATAAAATCGCATCAATAGCATGTATTGTAGCTGTAGAACAAATGGGTCAACACGACCGGGGAAGGACCACACTATCACAGAATACCAGCGTAAAATAGCAGCATAATGCTGCTGTGTTTTGTATGGTCAGTGTAGAGAACCAGAGACCGTTTTTGCTGAACACGAAGCATACCATCTTCGTCCTCAGAAGTGCTATAAAGTGGCCGAAACGTCAATTAAAAAAAATTTAAATGAAACGCGATAAAATCCGTAAAATTAATTTTATTCCATAATACTTTGGTTCTCACACCCACTATATAAAAAGGTATATTGGGTGACGGGAACCACCTACACGTAAGGTTAATGAAGAGAATCGGAAAACATTTTTACCAGTTACGAGGCGTTACATCTTAGTCCTTCGGGAAGACAACGCATCTGCAATTTTATTCCTAATAGAGGGCATATGGATAATTTACAACTTTTTCGGTTGCGAAGGAAAACATCGTGAGGAAAACTGCATGTCTAAGGAATAAAATATTTCAGGCACATACATATGTGAACTTCGTCAACACGCACTGGTGCATCAAGGCAGACTAATTACTCCATGACCCCTAACAAATGAGAGTGACAGGCTCCCAGCTGCGGACCATACACCCTGAAACTTTAACTTTTACGCTTGTACCGTCAAAGTCAGGTGCCCTGGCTACTATATCACGTTGTTATTGATAGAGTAAATATATCCGTAAGGCGTTGCGGACATAATTATTCCTCTGAGTTTTTAAATTACTTCCTAGACCAAAACTTTTCAAATAATATATCTCATGCTGAACACTGAAAGTAGTCGGTTTAGTTGAAACAGAGCCGATAATCACGCAGTGACAGTTTTGCTGCCCATCACCAGTTTAACCTTGGACAGTGTGGTGGCTGCGTAAAAGACCCGTCACACAATTTATGGTACTTAAGAGATAACTCATTAACGTCACATGTAAGTACCCAGGTCGGCGACGGCCACCAGCGTATAGTAATATAAATATAATATAATTAAACAAAACTATATAAAAAGGGTTATTATAATGTAAATGAATACATGGTTGATAATAAATTGGAATGAGGTGGTCACTTCCAAACTGTTTCTTAAATAAGTTTTGTAAGTAGGTTGTATAAGCTTATTTATTGTATAATTTACTTTAAGAAAAAGTCCCGCTGGGTTTCTTGCTGGTTCTCCCCAGGATAGAGGTTTTTTCCGAACCTATGGTAAATGTAAAGAAATGACTTTCAGTAACAATTACTTGTCAATAATGAATAAAACATGCGAACATAACGGCAGAGCCCAACGGATTAGTATAAGCTGAAGCTGAAGCCGATGGGGAAAAAAGGTTCTTGACGACCTGGTAAGATATGCAGGAAGTCGATGGATGCAGGTGGCTCAGGACCGCGCTTTGTAGCTTACCTTGGGGGAGACCTATGATCAGCAGTGGACTTGTGAAGGGCTGTAATGATGATGATGAATGAATAAAAAATATTATATTCTATTCGTCAATAGCACAGGTTGCCATTGACGAATAGATGACAATGGCACTTCACTGCACACTAACCACGCGTGAGAGTTACCGTGAATTCTTTCCACAACGGGAGATTACACGCCGAGTCGCGTACTTAAACAGATTGAGAAAGAAAAAGAAACCTTTTCGACTCGTTGTTCTATCGGTGTAGCACAAATGACCTAAATCCAACGAGAAAAGACCACTCTCGCATAGAACACCATCGTAAATCACCAGCGTATTGCTACTTTGTTGCATATGTTAAGTGACAAGAATCGGGGACTCTATTAACCAGTAACCAGGCTTTCAATCCTAATCTTCAGATGTGATAATGCATCATGCAGATATGTTTTCATTCTTTATTAGTGGTCGTAACCGCGATTGCCGATCATGAGGTCCCGGGTTTGAATCCCGGGTCAGGCCAGAACCAGTTATTGGGTTTTCTGTCAAGAAATTCTCAGTAGCAACCCGGAGTCAGGAAGTTGGCGGTGTTTCACCCCCGAGCCTCGGAAAATGCGTAACACCGTTAATTCTGCGCCTGACCTCTCTCCGGTCGTGTCGAATTACCGTCCTATCGGCCTAGTACGAGATATATGGATATAGAAAGTAGTGAGGGAATAGAAAGTGCACCTGTGCTTGCGCATAAACTCAGACAGTATGCATAATCCTGTCCTGCGGATATGGCTAGTCTACGTTGAGCCGAAATTCGGTCTGGAGGATATTAAATACTATTATTAAAGAAAAATTAAGCCTCTTATTTCCTTATTTATTAGTTTTCTAGAATCACATTTGGATAACCACCTGTATACAGACACATTCACCGCCATTCCTTAAGCTACTTTTCTTATATACAGCTGAGACGCGATGGCGTGGAGCGGGAGCGGGAGCGGTGACCGCGCCAAACGGAGCGGTGACGGGAGCGGGTGTACAAGCGGGAGCGGGCGCGGGGGCAGGAGCGGGCAGTGCTACAAGCGCGAGCGCAGACGTGGACGACTTGATCCACCTGCGGGGCCCGCTCACAGAAGATGCCGTAGTGCGAGCGCTTCAGGCTCGCTTCTACCATAACAAGTTCTATGTGAGTGCACGCCTTAGTAGTAACATTTAACACAAAGAAAATTTCCATTTTTTATTGAATAAGGATGATAATCGCAGTTCACCTGATGGTAAGTGGTTACTGTGGCCCATAGACGTCTACATCTATCTTCGATTACGAATCAAACTGCAGATGCGTTGTCATCCGTCAAGCCTCAAATGGAATGCCTCGTTTCCAGTAAAAAGGGGTCTCCGGTTCTCTACACTAACCGTACTGAGCAATAGCAATACTGAGCTACTATTTTACGTTGGTGTTCTGTGAGAGCGTGGTCTTTCCCCGGTCGAACGATTCGTGCTACAACCACAATGTAGCTATAGCACTGCTCTACCACTTTAAAAATATTTTATTACAGTAAACATACTATTTTACTAGATGGACCCGGTAAGACATGCAGGAAGTCGATGGATGCAGGTGGCTCAGGATCGTGCTTCTTAGGGGAGGCCTATGTTCAGCAGTGGACTTGTGTAGGACTGTAATGATGATGACGATGACACAATTTTATACCGTGATTGTTTAATTATATTATGGAGTGGAGCGTTAAAGAAAACATAACTGGCCATCATAAAAGTCCAGGACTACGAAGCTATCAAAATTAAAAGCTACCACATCAGGATGACAAACACCTCAGTCACCCCGTGACCATTTGCACTGTTAAACACGCGTAACTTCGTTACATTGAACACGATAAAATCCATAAAACAAGCTTATTGGTTTTTTCATAGGATAAGGTGACAAACGAGCACACAGTCCACCTAATGGTAAGTGGTTGCTGTGACCCATAGACATCTACATTTATCCTCAATAAAGAATCAAAATGCAGATGCGTCGTCACCCGTGAGGACTAAGGTGGATGCCTGTTTCCAGTAAAATGGGTCTCCGGTACTCTACACTCACGATACGAAACACAGCAGTGTCAAGCAGCCATTTTAAGCTGGTATTCTGTGAGAGCGTCGTCTTTCTCTGGTCGAGCCGACCCATTCGTACTACAACTATACTACTAATATAGCTGCAGCATGGCTCTACCACGTGTGATCTCCCTCGCACTTTTACTTATCTTGCCAAAGAAATATTATTTTGTTTCAAATTACGCAGCTATATAAATTAAAACAGTAAATAAAAAATCCGACTGCGTTAAAAAGTTTACTGGGAAAAAACCTAGCCCGCTTTTTATTTGCATATGTGTAATATATAAAGTCTACATAGGCTATGTCACTCCCACAATTAGGACGAATCTAACGACACCATATATGTTAAAACTAGCTGTTCCCCGCGACTTCGCCCGCGTGTTATTTGGGGTTTAAATCTTTTTTCGTGGAACCCTAATTCTTTTTCTAAAATAAAAGTAGCCTAGGTTACGCCTTGTAACATCAGCTATCTGCCAATGAAAATCCTCTCAAAATCGGTCCAGCCGTTTCGGAGATTAGCCGGTACAAGCAGATAGACAGACGGACAGACGGACAGACGGACAGACGGACAGACAGGCAGACAGACAAAAATTTCAATAATTGTATTTTCTTATTAGTACCGTATATACTTTCATATGCATTTAATAAAAAGCTGTAATTTTGACATTACAAACAGACACTTCAATTTTATTTATTTCTATAGATATATCAAGCCGCTTAGGCTATAGAGAGTGTCAAAGAAATAGACATACATACAAATACATAATCTCGGAAAACATCATCCTCCTGAGGCAGTCAGGTAATTAGTATTATCAAGATGCCTAGTGATGAATGCCCATGGATGCCTATGATTAGTATCAATATTTTATAGGTACTCATTGAACTAATGTCAATAACTCTAGCACTTTAAGTTCATAAATTCCTAAATCACGGGTGCGATACAGTAACTATGTACTATATCAGGCTTATAAAAACAGTACTACACTCTGGAGTCAAGGATATCGCCATAAACGGAGAGAAAGTGCTACGTGCGACGCCTAGCACAGAGTTACCGCATAAAGTTTCATGAGCGACAGATTAGCAACGGACCAACGCACACCGAGACAATTCTTTCTACGTTTGTTGAACCTATACGTGGTGAACATTTAACTAGAACGTGATTTACGTAACTCATATGTGTATCTGGTGCAGTTATAAATGGTTCATTTTTAAAATATTCATTTACAATATGTTTTACGTGGTAGTACGACGCCGCAGTTATATTATGTTTGTAGCACGAGTGGGTCGACCCAACCGAGGAGGGACCACGCTGTCACAGAATACTATAGTTTATTGCTACTGCGTTTCGCATGGTGAATGTAGAGAACCGGAGACTATTTTTACTGGATTTCTGAATTACCCTTGTCATCGAAATGTTTTATTTCGTTAACTTACAGGTTTCCTCACGATATCTTCCTTCACCGCCAAGCACGTTGTAAATCGATATGTGGTAGTGAATATTCTCACACCGCTTCTAAACGGTTACCAAAGATATATCAATGATACAGCTTAATTATAGCTGCAGCTTATGCCTTGTGGTCCAGCGCGACGTCCTAGGACGAATATGAGAAAGAGTTTTCTTTATCCGAGGAAAGGCTACCGCTGGTATGGCTGCTGATGTATGCGAAAGTGTTCCCCATGTTCTGACAGTGGGTCAAGGTAGAACACCATAGAATTTTAGGTTAGACGGCTCCGTGTCTTTGTAATAGCGTTCCGGCGATAAGGGCCGCGGATTCAAATCCCACACGGAACAAGTATTTCTATGGCCTACAAATAATTGTTCCGGGTCGGGATGTTTGTCCTTGTGAAAATTATTTATGTAAACTGCCTTCACCATACCTACAGAAAAAAAAATCAATTGTGGAGGTTTTCTAAAAAAAGGTTTGACAACATCGATCACTAAGATCGATGTTTGACAATAAATATATTCGCTGGTATTATTTGGTACAGGTCATAACATGTAGACAGCGTAAGAGACTATCCCATATCACGCCGTGGGTGTCGTAAGAGGCGAGAGAGGAAATGTGAAACAGGAGATTGGCAACAGAATCTTCTTGGTAGCAACTCAAAATAATAAAAAATAGAAGTCGTTAACCCGCTCCCCAAGCGTGGCAGCTATACTAAATATCCACCGTATGTGGAATTATCCACGAATTACTGCCTGCACACCTTTAAAATTTCCTTTCATCGAAGAAGCTCCATCATATCATTGTCCGACAAAATATCTTCCTTATGTATTCTCAACCGTTACAAAAGTTAAAAAATCTTGAAGCGAGATAAACCCATTATCATTTGGCACAGCATATCTTAGATAAATGGACAACTGTTCTTGTCGTGAAACATTAGTAGTTTCGTTAAGAAGGATTTAAAAAAAATTCGCAGAAATTAATTCTTGCACAATTTTTTTTCGGGATTATTTCACCACAAATTGCAATAAGTTCATTATGTATGGTGAGGCTTTGGTAGGTAGCGTTCAACGTCATATTTTCTGTGTGTTTTATTAGATTTGAGTCTCCACATCTGCTTCTCATCCGTAAGATAGCACGAAAGTTTCCATCATTTGTTTCTCGCTCAGCATCATTGATTTTATTGGACCTGAATCGTACGTACCTCTCAGTGCCAATTCCTGACGTCCACATAATTTAATTGTTTCAATAATCAGAATGTGGCATTTCTGATTTTCAGCTATTTGCGCTAGGTATCCGCTATCAATCTGACTTATTATGTTTGGTTGAGTTTTATTATACACCTTTATAAAATTATCAGTCAATAATACAAAAGATTTGTGGTACTGGCCATAGATAAATAAATATGTAGCAAGCTAGTACTGGCTTTCACTGTGATGTGCTGCTTTCACTATGAGGAAGGTCTATGTTCATCAGTAGCCTTCTAATAGGCTGTGCTGATGAATGAATGGGTTTTGTACGTACGAGCGTTGTCTTTGTTTAACCCGCTCTCCAAGCATGGCAACTATGGCAAATATCCACGGTATGTGGCAATATATGAGGATGGCGTTTTTTCTTCAGTAGACTTCTAATAATCTGTACTAATGAATGAATGGATTTTGTACGAGCGTTGTCCTTCCTCGGTATAGTCGACGAAATTTAATGTTTTAAGAAAACGTACAATGTATGTAACTAATGATTATAATAATATTTGCTAGTTATAGTACACTTTCCCTACTTTTTTCAATCGACCAGCCAAACCGGCACGAAATATTCTATTCACCTAGATATTGAAATGCGATTTTTGAAATACTTAATTAATTATTAAAAGCCTCTCTCTCAAAAAGATCTCTCGAGCATTTCTACCCTTCCATTTCATATTTTACTACACCTTCAGGGCAAGGAGTAATAAATATAATAACAAGTCTAGTATTAAACGGCTAAAGGTTTATAGGTAAATTGATGTGTAGTCATGAAGTTAGGTAATAAAGAGTAAATGAACGACATCAGAAAATGGCCGTTTCTAAACTAAAGTTAAGACTATAATAATATAATAGTAATAATAACGATTAATTGTACATGTTCTTTTTTCTTCTTTTGTTTTTTTTTTATAAGACGTTACCCTTGGGCAAAGTAAATAAAAGAAGTTAAATGAGAGGGACCTATATACATGGCGCCACGCTGCACCTATACTGTGGTAGTAGTACGAATGGGTCGGTCGGTAGGATCCCGCTTTCACAGAGTAACAGCGTAACTTAGCAGCTTAATGCTGCTGTGTTTCGTATGGTGAGTGTATGTAAACGAAGAATTCCATTAGTCCTTAGGCATGACAACGCATCTGCATTTTGATTATTTATTGAGCATAAATGTAGATGTCTATGGGCCACAGCATCTACTGAACACCAGGTGGACTGTTTGTCACCCTTATTCTATAAAAAAATATTTTAGTGGTCTGTTGTTATTTAATGCCAACCACTGAAAGCTATTAAGTACTTTCAATTTTCTGAGTATCGATAGGGGAGGGAGATCGGATTCGCAATACGAATAAAGTGACAGAGCTTTTCATTCTCTTTCTTGTCTTTCTCTAAAACTAAACATTAATTCCACACTACGATTTCCTCCTGTATCGTGGAGGCAGGTTACATACATAAATTACAAACATCCAGACCCAAAACAATTACTTGTAGGCAATACAAATACTTGTTCCGTGCGGAATTCGAACCCGCAGCCCTTAGCGCCTTAACTCGTTGCTAAGCCACTGCGCCAGAGTGCCTTCAAAATGTCTATTTAATAATTTATTTAGTATATAAAGATTTAAGATGGATATTATACATCACTTAGACTCGCGCCCGCGGACAGACCACATTTACCGACGCACGAGCACAGCTCGCCGACACGTCACGTAACGCCGCGTCATCTTATTGTTATTCCATTTTTTCCTATTACCACCCTGTCTCTACCTGTTGTGTCGGATTACTTTGCCTGAGGCACAAAAGATCGTTTGTTGGATGTAACCGTCGCGGGTATTACTAAAGAAATTAAAAACATCGTTCTGATATCCGTCGAATTTTCTTGGAATCAAGAAAGATATTTTTATAGAATTAGGGTGACAAACGAGCACATAGTTCACCCGATGGTAAGTAGGTGCAGTGGCCAATAGACATCTACATCTATCCTCGATTAAGAATCAAAATGCAGATGCGTTGTCACCCCTAAAAACTAAGATGGAATGCCTCGTTCCCAGTGAAAAGTGTCTCCGGTTCTCTACACTTACCATACAAAACTCAACAGCATTGAGCTGCTATTTTACGATGGTATCCTGTGGGAGTGTCCTTCCCCAGTCGAGCCGACCCATTCGTATTACAACCACAGTTGCAGTGTGGCTTTACCATGTAAGAAAAAATATGAAAAGAATAAGCGAACTTCAATATGATATTTTCTCACAGTGATTAATTAATGTGTGTGAACGTTCTATGGTGGTTTGTATAAACCTATAAGTGCACAATTTAACGCTGTAAATCCACGTCACAAACTGTCTATTCATGAGCAGGATACACGAACAGGTAGCTGCTACCTGCGAGGACTTACAATAAGCCGTTTTCTTGAGAAGGTGCTATTACTTTGTTAATGGTTTTTAAGGCTTCTTGAAATTAATTTGTAAGCTTAAGCAACTTCTGCACTGTTTTGTTTTTTCAAGTATGAGATCTTTTTGTAAAAATAAAGTCTATCATTCCACAACGTTCTCATGAATACACTTTTTGTTAAAATGTATATACAAATCCATTGACTCAATGACGCACATGTAATAAGTCGACCTATTACTAACCCATTTTTTATGTCCGTAAGATAAAAACTGACGCCTATTTTGATGGCCCAATCACTTGCCAGCGTGGCAATTATGATGCGATCCTTCCGACGTGGGAAATGCCTATAGTTAGCAGCGACTGTCAAACGCTGAAAATATTAAAACAAAACCCATTTTTCAGAAAGTTAGAACATTGTAGTGTAACAAATGCATCTCTTAAATTACTTACTTATCTTCACGCACAATCCCTGACGGGGAAGCCAGAGAGAACAGATCGCCAAGTGTCACGATCCTTACAAACCTCTTTCGCTTCTTTCAGATTCATTATCTTCTTCATGCATGCACGTCTAGGTATCCGAGTACTTTTGACCCTACCCTCTTCGAGCAATTTGCTCACATGGTCTTCGAAAGTTAGTCTCGGTCTACCTCGACACCTTTTAATATTAACTTTCGCGCTATATATTTTCTTCACCATTCGGTCTTCACTCATTCGCTCAACGTGCCCAAACCACCGAAGCACGCCCTTATCAATTTTTGTGATAAGGTCATCTTTCAAACCTGCCATATTGCGAATCTCTTCGTTTCGCTTTCGGTCGGCCATGGTAACGCCGCACATTTTACGAAGAGATCGCATCTCCACTGCATTCAACTTACTTTTATGCTTCTTCTGGCATACCCAGGTTTCGCTGCCATATAACAAAGTCGGTACCAACACTGCGTTATGTATTGCAAGGCGTGCACTCTTCGCTACGCCTTGCCTTTTGACTAACGCAGTCAGGGCACCATTGACTTTGTTCCCGGCAGCGACACGCCTGTCCACATCTAAATCACATCTTCCATCCCGGCTAAAAGCACTCCCCAAGTATACAATTTCATTTACCTGTTCTAGACATTCCTGATTTACCCATATTTCACACTTCGTTCTCTCTTCGTCCCTTTCAAATACCAGAACCTTAGTTTTATTAGCATTCAAATTGGTTCATATTTAAGGGTTTTATCAATACGTGTTCCTCAAAGTTTGTAATGGATAACTACGACTTTTTTTCTGCACAGTGTATTTACTGATAATACTTCATTGATTATCAAATTCAAACGACAATTAGTAAATTATGACGAAGTGAGTAATGCTATATCTAAATGAGTACACTGGCTTAACGTTAACAATTACACGTGGCAGAGCCATGCTGCAGCTATATTAGTAGTATAGTTGTAGCACGAAGACCGAGGAAGGACCACGTTCTCACAGACTATCAGCGTAAAATAGCAGCATAACGCTGCTGTATTGCGTATGGTGAGTGTAGAGAACCGGAGACCCTTTTTACTGGAAATGAGGCATTCCATCTTAGTCCTCACGGGTGACAACGCATCTGCATTTTGATTTGTAATTGAGGATATAATACATAGGTACTAATATTATTTTAAATGGGAAAAATTAAGGTCTTATTGATACCTCGTTTGTCTGGGAATTAGTCTTGATTAGCAAACAGGCTTAGATCGGCAGCATGTACTGTAAAAGATCAGCCTCATTTGTGTTGAAATAGCTAGGTTAGTTTATTTTAATTATTTCACCACCACAGAGTTCGTTTAAAATGATGAAACAACACACCTCTCTCTCTCTCTTTTTGTCTGAAGTCGGTTGTCGGTGTTTACGAGCTGCAATAGTCAAGTCAGATAAATGTAGACGATATCTATCGGTCACAGTAACCACTGTTTGTCAACCTTTAATCTATTAAAAATGCTGCTTTGTTTCGTATGGTTAATGTTGGGAACCAGAGGTAATTTCAGGGAGGGACGCGTGGTCGGAGGCACAGATTACCTTTTATGGCGCAGACTAAGTAAGTGTGAGCCTGTGGGCCCTAACACGTGTTGCAAAGAACCAAGTCTCGGCGTTTCTTCTATTACGCATAACATACTTCTTTAATGGCTTATTTCGTTATTGTATTGTATTTGTAAAAACAATTGATGTAAGGAGGTGTCGTCGTTGTTGCAGACATCCGTGGGTCCGATCCTGATCGCGCTGAACGCGTACACGGACTCATCTAACGCGCTGACTCCAGCGGCCGCGCGCGCCCAGCGGCCAGAGCTGGCGCGTCTCGTGCACGACGCCGTGCGCCACCAGGCAGACACCGGCTGCCCTCAAGCTATCATACTCTCCGGTTAGCACTCTCAGTTGCCTTCCCAGCGTACCATGTAGTGGTAGCGTAAGATAACCAATCGCCCATTTTGTACCGTGGGTATCATTAGAGGCGACTGTAGGAAATGGCAGTAAATCTTTACGTGGTAGAGCTATGTTGCAGCTGCAATAATATTGACTTTTAGATTGAATTTCGGTGACAGCGGCCAATTACAACAGAGACTAGCCATTTGCGCTGGACAAGTGCATGCGCAGGCACAGGTGCACTCTCTATTTCCTCACTCTCATGGTCCGGTGGGACCGAGAGAGAGAGATCAGGCGCAGATAGGCGCATTGATTCTTAATCGAGGACAAAAGTATATGGCTTTGGATCACAGTATCCATTTAATATCTGGTGAACTGAGTGCTCGTTTGTCACCCTTTTTCTATAAAAAAAAATTTATAAAAATTTTTCACCAGGGCGGCGCCACTAAAAAGTGTGTTGAAAATTTTGGGGAAGTTAATTTGATAGAAAAGTGTAACGGTTAATGTTTCTTTCCGTAATTTTAGATATATTTTGTATTATACGGCAGCATTTAGCTGCTATTTTACGTTGGTATTCAGTGATAGCGTGGTCCTTCCCCGGTCGAGCCGACCCATTTGTGTTTTCGTAATATAGCTGCAACATAACTCTACTACCTATACAAATGTTGTGTATACCCCCATTAATAAACGGTCTTCTTATGCAATTGCAGGTGTGTCAGGTTCCGGGAAGACGTACGCGTCGATGGTGCTACTGCGGCGACTGTTCGACGTGGCGGGCGGCGGGCCCGAGACCGACGCCTTCAAGCACCTCGCCGCCGCCTTCACCGTTCTGCGCTCGCTCGGCACCGCCGCCACGCTAGCCAACTCGCACTCCAGCAGGATTGTACGTCACAGTAACCCTTCTCTTTACTAGTAACTTATATATTATATAAGTTACTTGCGATCCGCTCCGGCTTCGCCCGTGTTCGGATTCATGCATCTCGACAACAGCGCCACCTACCCGGTCCAATTGTTAATCTAAACCATCCAAGGACCCATTAGAAAATACACAAAAAATTTCATCCATATCGGTCGAGCCGTTTTTTAGTTTTAGACTAACGAACAGCAATTGATTTTTATATAGAGATAGTATATACCTAGTCAGGTCATAAATTCTGTTACATGTTTAATATAAAATAATTGAAACAAGTTTATTCATTATGTAACCATTTATATACCAAAATGAACTTAACAAAACATAGATTCTTATGACACTAAATTTTATTCAAAATGACCTCTGTGATTTTGAATACAGGCCTTCAATCTGCGCGGCCAGTCGTCTATCGCAGCACGAACGAGGTCCATGTCAATATCGGTGGCTGCCTTAATCAAGGATGTCTTGAGTGACTCCAAATTGGGATGAGGCTTTGAGCACGCCTTTTCCTCCAAGTGTTGCCATATCTTGTAATCTAACGGATTCAAATCTGGACTGGAGAAGGGCCAGTCTTCGTGCCGGATGAAGTCGATTTCACGCGCCGCCAGCCAGTCTTGTGTGCTCTTCGCTCTATGAGCTGGCGCCGAATCTTGTTGCAATATCTAGTGCCTGTTATTGAACATGGTATGAGAAACAGGTTCAACAAGGTTCGTCAGGACTGTATTTTGATACACAACTGCATTCGTTTTTACACCTTTCTCACAAAAATGTACCTCTGTTAAGCCCCAAGAAGAAACTCCCAACCATACCATGAGCGAGGAGGGAAAATGACCTCGTTGGACACGCGGAATACGGTTGCTCGCTTCTTCACTACTGTGTGCGTACACCTTATCATTTTGTTTGTTGTAGCTCTCTTCTACGGTAAAAAATTTTTCATCCGAAAAAAAAATTTCCCGATATTTTTTTCCCGCGTACCGCTTCAACAAAGCGCGGCATCTCTTCAGTCTCAGGTCCATTAGACGAGCATTCAAACGATGTCCTGTTTTTCTTCGATATGCCCGAAGCCCTAAGTCGTCATTTAATACCCTTTTCACCGTGGTTCTGCTTAACCCCATCTGAAGGGCCAACAGTTTCTGCCTACGTTTGGGATTTCTTTGAATTCGCGCCTTCACAGCTTTTATCACTGCTGGAGTCCTAACAGACCGAGGGCGACCACTTCTTGACCTGTCATCTACACTAGAGTCTTCATTGTATCGTTTGATGGTACGGTAAACGAATCTTTTGGTTATATTCAAAATTTTCAGTATGTCAAAAATTTGAATTGGCGCGTAACCGCAACGATGCAACGCAATAACTGCAACACGGTCTTCTTTAAGCGTCCACTCCATATTTAAAAATGAGTAAAATTCTGAAAAGTATACAGTTTTATTTTCATGAACAATTCGAAATTCGAATTTAATAAACTTTTTTGTGGCCAGCATTCTAAAAGAAAAGTTTTTACTGTGTGACATTACTTATGACCTGACTAGGTATATTATAATATAGGCATAGTATAGTTTCTCTATTGTGGGAAGTCAGAATGTGTCCAAAAACGCACGTATGGCAATTCACAATGCTGTGTTAGTCCCTACTTTAATGTAGTGAAAGTTGGGTGTGGCAGAAGAACCACGAGAGTAGAATAAATGCTGTAGAAATGCGATCATTAAGGAGTATGTTAGGGATGAATCTGAATGACAGAGTGAGAAATTGTTTGATAAGAGAAAAGTGTGGTTTGCAAGATGACTCTGTGACCAGGATTAAGAAAGGAATGCTTCGGTGGTTTGGTCATGTAGAAAGAATGAACGAGTAAAGAGTGACAAAACAAATTTATGTTGCTGAGGTGAACGGCAGAGCCGGGAAGGGACGCCCTAGGCGAAAGTTTATCGACCAAATTGGCGATATATTGAAAATGGGCCAAATAATTTAACCTTAACCGACGAGCATGTATGCGTATATGGATGTGGAGAAAGAGTGGTGTGTTAGGATCATGCCCAATGGAAGTCCATAGTCTCTACCTACCCCTCTGGGTGACAGGCGTCAGTGTTTTATGTATAGTTTTTTTTTATAGGAGAGGGGGCAAACGAGCATGCGGCTCACCTGATGGTAAGTGACTACCGCCGCCCATGAACAACTGCAACACCAAGGAGGGAATTGCAGATACGTTGCCGGCCTTTTAAAAAGGAGTACGCTCTTTTCTTGAAGGTCCCTAAGTCGTATCGGTCCGGAAAAATCGCTAACGGTAATCGATTCCACAAGGAAGTCGTACGAGGAAGAAAACATCTTCTAAATCGCACAGTGGTGGACCACCAATCATCCAGATGGTGTGGATGGTATCGGGAGTTCTGCCGCGATGTGCGTTCGTGAAATTTGGCGGCTGGGATTAATCCGAACAATTCCTCAGAGCACTCCCCATGGTAGATGCGAAAGAAAATGCAAAGGGATGAAACATCTCTTCGCAGTGCCAATGAATCGAGCCGATCGGAAAGGGCTCGGTCGTCGACGATTCGAGCCGCTCTGCGCTGGATGCGGTCAAGTGGAAGGAGCTGGCACTGGGGAGCCCCTGCCCAGAGATGGGAACAGTATTCCATGTGAGGCCGAACCTGCGCCTTGTAAAGTTGCAGGCGGTGTGCCGGCATGAAATACTGTCCCGCTCTGCTGAGCACGCCAAGCTTTTTGGAGGCCAATTTGGCCTTCTCTTCCAAGTGACCACGAAACTGCACGTCACTGGATATGTCGACTCCAAGGATACCGATACTGGCTGAGGCAAGAAGGGGAGTGCCTTGAAACTGAGGAGAGACGACAAAGGGGTTCTTGTTCTTTCTAATAGAAATAATTGCGATTGAATTTATCAAACATATCGTAAAATGTTTTATACGTGGTAGAGCCATGCTGCAGCTATATTAGTAATATAGTCGTAGCACGAATGGGTCGGCTCGACCGGGGAAGGACCACGCTCTCACAGAATACCAGCGTAAAATAGCAGCTTAACACTGCTGTGTTTCGTATGGTGAGTATAGAGAACCGGAGACCCTTTTTACTGGAAATGAGGCATTCCATCTTAGCCCTCACTAGTGACAACGCATCTACATTTTGATTCGCAAACTCGGATAGATGTGGATGTCTATGGGCCACAGCAACCATTTACCATCAGGTGGACTGTGCGCTCGTTTGTCACCCTATCCTATAAAAAAATCACTTCACCGGGGGTACCACGCTCGCAAAGAATGCTAGACAGTGTAATATAGTGGTATTATACCACTACCGTGTTTTAAGTGTGGAGAATCAGAGACCTCTTTTCCAAATAGCGCGATATTCCATCTCACTCCTTAAAGGTGACGATGGATCTATATTTTGATGCTACATCGAAGTTATGTTGTCAGTCTATGGGCCATATCATCCACTTACCACCAGGTGTACTGTGTGCTCGTTTTTCACGTATGAAGAATAATATAGTTATTGTTACTTTTTAAATATTCTTAAAAATGTACAAGTGCTTACAATGTAAGCTTGTGGTGCAAATGGTAAAGTAAAATAACAGTCTATGTACGTCGTACTGCTGCTAACTTACAATGTTAAACTTCTAATGTCCTCAAAAATATTTTATTTATTTATTTATACTTTCATGTAACAAAGCAGTACATATGGCGGACTTAATGACATAGGGCATTCTCTCCCAGTCAGCCGTTATTATTTTTTAATTCTCGCACATAAAGATATCTTGATGATATTTTACTTCAAATGAAAGAAATGTGTTATATTTACTTAAGAGAAGGAAGAAAGGTAAGACTACATTTTAAAATTTTTAGAGACAATTTTTTAAATTATGTTGAAATATGTCTTATTCCTCATCAGACTTTGAAATCAACTGCTAGATATTAGACCTAATCTTATCTGGTAAACGTTTCAGGGGCATTTTATAGAAGTACAAGTGACGGACGGCGCGCTGTACCGTACGAAGATCCACTGCTACTTCCTGGACCAGACGCGTGTAGTGCGGCCGCCGCCCGGCGAGCGCAACTACCATATTTTTTACCAGCTGCTGGCGGGGCTCACGCCCGAAGAGCGCCTGCAGCTCCATCTCGATGGATATTCTCCACAAGACCTAAGGTAAATAACAACTCTTGACGGCTCCGTCGCGCAATGGCTTAACAATGTGTGGCAGCGCTTAGGGTCGCGGGTTCTAAACCCGCATGAATCAAGTATTATGCCTTACAAATAATTGTTCCCGGTCTGAATGTTTGTCCTTGTGTATGTAAACTACCCCACGATGTAGAAAAAAATCCTCGTGTGAAGGTAACGATTAATTTAGAGAAAGGAAAGAAAGAAAGAAAAGTCTGTCCTAAAACGTTATTAGTATTGCGAATCCGATCTTCCTACCAATAAATATTCAGAAAAATCAAATTACTTAATAAATTTCAGTGAAATAATGGACATAAACGAGCACACAGTCCACATGATGGTAATTGGATGCTGTGTTCCATAGATATCTACATTTATCCTCAATTAAGAATCAAAATGCAGATGCGTTGTCACTCCTGAGGAATAAGATGGAATGCCTCGTTTCCAGTAAAAAGGTTCTCCGGTTCTCTTCACTCACCATACGAAATACAGAAGCATTAAGGTGCTATTTTACGCATTTTTTAAATATAGATCAAATCCATCCTATTCTGTTTCTATCCAAGAGATGTCGGTTAGAATATTATGAAATTTATTAAAACTAAAATGCAAACTGCTACATATAAACTTTCCCGCTGATTGTCACAAATACGGTTGCGATCATTTACCTGACTTAGTCGGATATTGTTCTTGGGTCTATTCTATTGCAACATATTTCTGTACGGCATGTACCAATAACAATTTACAACTTCACAACTGAAATATAGAAAGAGAAGATTTTACTGATATAATAATATAAAACCTAGTAACTTTCATATCGTACATAAATATTTTATTACTTTCCACAGATACCTCGCATCTTCGCAACACCGGAGACCTGAACCTGAAGACGCGGCGCGATTCCACGCTTGGAAAACGTGCCTCGGCATCCTCGGCATCCCGTTCTTGGACGTGGTGCGCGTACTGGCTGCGGTACTGCTGCTGGGCAACGTGCAGTTCGGCGAGAGCGTGGAGGGGGCCGCGGAGCCGGCGGGGGAGGCGGAGCTGGCGGCCGCGGCCTCACTGCTGGGGGTCGCCGCGCCGGCACTACTGCGCGGTCTTGCCTCGCGAACTGCGCCAAGGAACGCAAGAGGACTCGTGCGGGGGGTCGCTGGTGCCGCACAAGCCGCACAAGCCCGAGACTCCCTCGCTAAAGCACTGTACTGCCGCACGGTCGCCACGATCGTACGCCGCGCCAACTCCCTTAAGCGACTCGGCTCCACGTTAGGGACCTTATCCTCGGATTCGAACGAGTCGGTTCACAACCAAGACGCGGCTTCTAGACGCGCGTCGACCGCGGGAAGGTCGCGTGCCGGCGCGCACTCGATGGCAGCGTTAAACGACGCGGTCCGCCACGCGACAGACGGCTTCGTCGGCATACTCGACATGTTTGGCTTCGAGGACGCGGCTCCGAGCCGTCTCGAACATTTGTGCGCGAACCTTTGCGCGGAAACCATGCAGCACTTCTACAACACGCACGTGTTCAAGTCGTCGGCGGAGTCGTGTCGCGAAGAGGGCGTAGTGGGCGCGTTGGAAGTGGAGTACGTGGACAATGTGCCATGCATCGACCTGGTGTCGTCGTTGCGCGCCGGTTTGCTTGCCGCGCTCGACGCGGAGTGCGTAGCACGCGGCACCCCCGAGCAGTACGTCGCGAGGATCAAAACGGCACACAGGTAATACTCGATGCCTTGTAATATTACTACTGCCTTCAATATCTTCCAAAAATTTCGCAATGTGACGCATCAACATATTGTGAAGAAGTGTATAATAAAAGATAATTTCTTATTGCTTGATACTGGCAAAAGTACAAGTCCGTTACTAAACAAAGAAAGAAGTAATATTACTCAAATTAATAGTGTTATTCCTCTTTATCTGAGAGGAATAACTCAATAAATTCCTTAAAGTATTCCTTTTTTCATTGGCGTCACCTATAATAAAGAAGACTGGTTATACCCGTCTAGCTTTCTCACGCAGTCCTCTATCTTATTTGGTGTTCCGCAGTTCCGTTTGTTTTTTGGACGATTTATTTTACCTTGCTACAATATTTCCCTAAAATTGAGTTATTTAATTTATTTATATAATTTAATTTTCTTGCATTTACGTTTCACTACGTATTATTTTTTATTTCAACTATTACTAATTTTAAACTATTCTTATTTTAAGTTTTCTGTAAGAGCGTGATCCTTCCCCTGTTAAACCGACTATCTGCCACATTTATGTCACAACCATAACACAATGTGTTCCAACCCGAATTTCGGTAGCGGAAGCCAGTTTCAACGAAGACTAGCCATCTGCGCAAGACAGAATTACAGTGCCCAACCCAAGTGTACTTAGTCAGGTCATAAGTTCTGACAAAAACTTTTTATAAAATTAATGATACACTTTTTATATAGAAATTATATTATATATATAATAAAAGGTAATTTAATTTAGAATACAATTTTATTTGCATTATTCAATATGCCCTATTTTGAATACATGCCCTTAATCGACGCGGCCAATCATCAATCGCAGCACGCACCTCACTCATATCAATTTCTGCCGCTGCCTTAGCCAAAGATGCTCGGAGAGATTCCAAATATTGATGAGGTTTAGCGCAGACTTTCTCCTCCAAATGTTACCATATCTTATAATACAGTGGGCTTAAATCTGGACTAGAAGGGGGCCAGTCTTCATATCCGATAAAGTCAATTCCATGGGCGGTCAACCAGTTTTGCGTGCTTCGTGCCCTAGGACCTGGTGCAAAGTCCTGTTGGTATATCCAACGTCTATTTTTGAAATTTTTTTGAGAAACAAGTTCCACTATGTTTGTTAGGACGGTATTTTAGTACACCTCGGCACTTGTTTTTACACCTCTTTCACAGAAAAACACTTCAGTTAAACCTGAATATGAGACTCTAATCCAAACCATGAGTGACGAAGGATAGTGTGCTCGTTAAATCCTCGGAATACGCGTACTGGCTTCTTCACTGCTGTGGGCATACACCTTATCATTTTGTTTATTATAACTTTCTTCGATGTTAAAATTTTTTTCATGCGAAAACAAAATTTCCCCCCTTTTATTTTCTTCCCGCGTACCGCCGTAATAAAGCGCGGGATCTATGCAGCCTAAATTTTTTCAAACGCTCGTTCAAAAAATGTCCGGTCTTCTTACGATAAGCTCGTAGTCCTAGGTCTTCATTGATCACACTTTTGACCATGGTTTTGCTTAAACCCATCTGAAGAGCTAAGATTTTTTGTTTATGAACAGGATTTCGTTGGATTCGCGCCTTCACTGCTTTGATGATCGCGTGTGTCCTAACTGTACTGTCGGCCGGTCCTCTTACGATTTTCGAAGCTTGAATCTTCCGTAAATCGTTTGATAGTGCGATAAACAAAGCGTAGGGCTATTTTCAATTTTTTGTAGAACATTGAAAAAACTTTTTTGGCGCGTAACCACAGCGGTGCAACGCGATAACCGCTACTCTATCTTCTTTGTTCGACCACTCCATATTTGAAAATGAATAAAAATTAATGTTTTTTTTTTCGGCAAGCCCAAGCGATATATTTTTAAAATTGGTGAAGTTTATCTAGCCAGTATTCAAAAATTTTAAATAATAAGGTTTTGACAGAACTTATGACCCGACTAAGTCTGTATAGTCCGATGGGACGGTTTTCCGACCCGACCGGAGGGAGATCAAGCACAAGAACAACGGCTTCGGAAATTTACGTGCTATCCGCGGCTTCGGGATCAAACACCGCCAACTTCCTGACTCCAGGTTGCTACTGAAAATTTCTTGACAGAAACCCCGATAACTGCTTTTGGCCCGATCTAGGATGCAAACTCGGAGCCTCATGAACCTTGTTTACGACCACGAGACCGAGACCAACGAGGCAGTCGATTTATTGACCATAATATAGCTGCGACATGGCTCTACCACGTACAAATAAATGTTGCTTGAACTCTTTCGTATATTTAGTGTGGAGAGGATGATTATAAGAATATATGAACATAAAAACAGCAAACATTCTTATGGCTGCGCCACTAAAAATTAAGGTGAAATATTTGACAGATTTCATGATGGGGAAAGTTAGTTTGTTAAAAAAAAAGTATAGAGATTAATGTTTCTTTTTGAAATATTACATATATTTTATACTAATTAGCTTAAAAAGAGATAAACGAAACTACGGATATACTTAAAAGTAGATGAATTATCATATTTTGCATTGTCATCTAAATTTGAGCTATGTTCAAAATATCAAGTTTCCAGCTCATCGGGAAGTTTAAAAGCAATTACTAAATTCCGTTCGGAACGACAGACAAACAAGAAAGAGACATAATAAATATATAGTAAAATGTGATTTTTTTAAAGACTACAGAAGTAAGGTTTTGTTTTGTATACATACGAGTACATACACTAGAAACACAAAAATTTATAATTAAATCGCAACTTTTCAATGAGCTTCATATAAAAAAATTCAAATCATATTCTAATAAAACTAAGGTTCTGGTATTTGAAAGGGACGAAGAGAGAACGAAGTGTGAAATATGGCTAAATCAGGAATGTCTAGAACAGGTAAATGAAATTGTATACTTGGGGAGTGCTTTTAGCCGGGATGGAAGATGTGATTTAGATGTGGACAGGCGTGTCGCTGCCGGGAACAAAGTCAATGGTGCCCTGACTGCGTTAGTCAAAAGGCAAGGCGTAGCGAAGAGTGCACGCCTTGCAATACATAACGCAGTGTTGGTACCGACTTTGTTATATGGCAGCGAAACCTGGGTATGCCAGAAGAAGCATAAAAGTAAGTTGAATGCAGTGGAGATGCGATCTCTTCGTAAAATGTGAGGCGTTACTATGGCCGACCGAAAGCGAAACGAAGAGATTCGCAATATGGCAGGTTTGAAAGATGACCTTATCACAAAAATTGATAAGGGCGTGCTTCGGTGGTTTGGGCACGTTGAGCGAATGAGTGAAGACCGAATGGTGAAGAAAATATATAGCGCGAAAGTTAATATTAAAAGGTGTCGAGGTAGACCGAGACTAACTTTCTAAGACCATGTGAGCAAATTGCTCGAAGAGGGTAGGGTCAAGAGTACTCGGATACCTAGACGTGCATGTATGAAGAAGATAATGAATCTGAAAGAAGCGAAAGAGATATGTAAGGATCGTGACACTTGGCGATCTGTTCTCTCTGGCTACCCCGTCAAGGATTGTGCGTGAAGATAAGTAAGTAAGTAAGTAAATCATATTATGTTACTAACACGACTGAATAGACTCGACCGGGGTAAGACCAGGCTCTCACAGAATACCAGCGTAAAATAGCAGCTTAATGCTGCTGTGTTTTATAGTCGTCAAGGATGACAACGCATCTGCATTTTGATTATTAATCGAGGATAAATGTATATGTCTATGGGCCATAAACATCTACTTAACATCAGGTGAACTGTGTGCCCGTTTGACACGCCAATTCTATAAAAAAAACTGCGTAACTAATAATTTCACCTTAGTCCCACTCCACCCACTAGCGACATCTGGTGATCGTAAGATTATTAGTCCTCATTGAGCGCGTGTCTACAGAGGACACCCACGGCTGGGCGAGACGAGGCCGGCGCACGCGCGGCGCTTCACGGTGCGCCACTACGTGGGCGAGGTGGTGTACGACGCGGCCGAGTTCCTGGACGCGAACCGCGACACCGTGCCCGACGACCTGCTCGCCGCCTTCGACACGCGCACTTGCGAGTTCGGCTTTGCGACGCACCTATTCGGCGCCGAGCTCAAGGTCGGTCACACTATTTATTAAACTACTATGAGATAGTAACAGCAATAAGAAAATACTAACGAGTATAAAAGAATTATGTGAGCTATAATTGATAAAACATTACACCGATCCAGTAGAGAGTATCCTAATTTATGTCAAATTAAATGAATAAAACAAACCGGCTAGTTTATTTAAGCGTGCGTACGCAAGCGCCTGCGCGTGCGCACTTGTGTGTGTGTGTGTTTGTGTGTGTGGGCATGTGTGTGTGTGTGTGCGTGCGTGCGTGCGTGCGTGGGCATGTGTGTGTGTGTGTGTGTGTGTGTGTGTGTGTGTGTGTGTGCATGTGCATGTGTGTGTGTGTGCGTGCGTGCGTGCGTGGGCATGTGTGTGTGTGTGTGTGTGTGTGTGTGTGTGTGTGTGGGCATGTGTGTGTGTGCGTGCGTGCGTGGGCATATGTGTGTGTGTGCGTGCGTGCGTGCGTGCGTGCGTGCGTGCGTGCGTGCGTGCGTGTGTGTGTGTGTGTGTGTGTGTGTACGTACGTATCATCTATTTTTTGTGATGTCGGTGCTGATAGTCTATAAGGCTCTTACAGCTTCATCTGGTACAAAGGCGAGGCGATTTTAATCGACTTAATATTAAGCCGAATATCTTTTAGTAACGCTACATCAAGGACGTCCGGTAGATCAAGGAGCCGCCTATAAGTCCGATTAGCCTATCATTTTTAACTAAGATATAATTTGCTATTTTTGGATCACGCACACTAGGTTTCAAGAAAGTCTCTTGCACTATCATAATGTCGACATCATGATCGCGTAAAAAATATTCGATTTCTTCCCTTTGATCTCCGATGCCGTTTGCGTTAAAAAACGCGACAGTCAGAGAGCTAGGTTTAGTTCTACCTGTACGTTGTTCTGCCATTCGGAGGTGTGTGCCTAAGAAAAACTATACACCTAGCGCGTTGGTACGCTAGGATGTGTACCTAGATGTCGTCTAAAAGCGAACACAGTGTGAATAACCAAGTGTGCCAGTTAAAATGGTTTTGACGCGAGAGTTTGGTAAAACACTATGAACTTTTTTTGTAGTTTAGAGTTAGCAAATTGAAATTTGTGCCGTCTGGAGTACGCTATCCCAATTTAAATCATTAAATATAAAGGTTGCATCATCCGCATAGCAAAATACATCTGCTCTTAGAATGGGTAGTTCTAGGATGTGAATGCAAAATAAGGTTGAACCAAGAATACTCCTTGAGGAACTCGAATATAGATTTTTAATCCCCTACTTGTATTTGAGCTCATTTTTATGCATTAACACCTAACTGTATGATAGTTACGAAACCAAGCCAATGCCAATCCTGTATTGGCCGGGGAGTAAGAGTATTGTCAAAGATCCCTTTTCCGATGCGCGTGTTATTTAGAGGTATTAAAACCACATACAATTTGGAATTTAAAAAATATTTAAATTTAATTAAAGAAAATTGTTGTATATTTTAGGCACCAGACTCTGTTAGCCTACCCTCTCTTGAGAACTCAGTTCAGGTTTCAGGCACCTGCTTCTGTCTCCCTGTCTAAAATTAGTCTGACGTTAGTGAATTTGATGTGTAGGCACTGTCAGCGGGCGGCGGGCCGACGGGCGGGCAGTTCCGCGCGTCGCCCACTGCGGCGGCGGCGGCCGCGGCGGCGGCGGCGGCGGGCGACGCGCCGGCCTCCACGCTCACGCAGGACTTCCACACGCGCCTCGACAACTTGCTGCGCACGCTCGTGCACGCGCGCCCGCACTTCGTGCGCTGCCTGCGCGCCAACGCCAACGAGACGCCCATGCTTTTCGAGCGCGCTACCGTCGCCAAACAGGTGAACACAGAACCTTGCTTGATTTACGCCAAATAAGGCCTCTGTTGTGTATAGGCCAACGCCGACGAGACGCCCATGATCTTCGAGCGCGCCACCATCGCCAAAAAGGTGGATACAAAACTTTGCACACTGGTTCACTGAAAATAAGGCGAATGTTATATAAGAAGGGGCCCATCTTCAAAGCGTGCCGAGCTAAAAAAACTTGCTACACCGTGACATCTTCTACACAAATATTGACAGTGATATGGAGATTGATCGTATAAACATGGACTCTCCTGCACAAATATTGGTCATTTTTCGAAAGTAAATGCAAATATTTTTTCAAAAAAAAATTCTATTCTGAAATTAAATATGGAGCTTAAAAACAAAGTTGAATCATTAAATATTGTATGAACTTACTTTCATTGTGCTATTTGTTAAAATTTTGAGAATAATTTCTTATAATTAAATACTTAATTAAAGAGACCATTGAAAATTCTCCTCTCTTACAAATGCACCGCTTCTTCAACCGTGCCAATTACTTCACTCACCGTCGTATGGTAGGAACTACACTATTATACTAGGAACAAACATAAGCTTGTAATGCCAGTTACAAGACTCCACAGAATTCTCATTCTCAATCTCTGTGCCGGGGCACCCTCTGCTCCTTCCACTTGACTGCATCCAGCAAAGATCGGCTCGAATCTTGGACGATAAAGATCTCTCTGATCGGCTCGATTCATAGGCGCGCGCGCGTGGAATCGGCTACCACCAGACATTTTTCCAAAACCGAAACGACTTAGAGACCTTCAAGAAAAGAGCCCGCTCCTTTTTAAGCCGCGGGCTACGCACCTGCAATTGCACTGATGTTCACTTAACATCCGTTGAGACACATGCTCGTTTGTCCCAATGTCCAATCAGAGATTAAATGGTATCAGTGAATTTGGCGGCCATAATTTTTGTACATGTGAATATATTATGTGTACAGGTGCGCGCGCTACAAATCCTGGAGACGGTGCAGTTGATGGCCAACGGTTACCCTCACCGGATGCGGTTCCGAGCGTTCAGCGCGCGCTACCGGGCTCTGTGGCGACGCGGGAGGCGCGCGGGGGCGGGTGGGGCGGGCGGGCCGGGGGCTGCGGGCACTGCGGAGCGGGAGGCGGGCGCGGCGTGCGCGCGGGTGCTGCGCGCCGTGGCCGCCGCCGCCGCTCCCCCCGCACCCTCCTCGCCCGCCGCCGTGCGATGGGCGCTCGGCAAGCGACACGTCTTCCTCAGCGAGGGCATGCGACAGGTGACCACCAACAATTTGCTTTTCCATAAGCTCTATTACCGATTTCTTATTTTACATGAATACTACACTTACGCGGTAGAGCCATGCTACAGCTATATTGCGGTTGTAGCACGAATGGGTCGGCTGAACCGGCAGCACAGGATGAAAATACTGTGGCCTATAGATATCTACATCTATCCTAAATGAAGAATGAAATTATAGATTCGTTGTCAACCTTGAAGACAAAGATGGAATGCTTCGTTTCCAGTAAAAAGGCACTAAGCTGCTATTCCACGCTGGTATTCTTCTATGAGACCGCGGTCCTACATACCCTGGTCGAGCCAACATTCGTGCTAGAACCATTATATAGCTGCAACGTGGCTCTTCCACGAATAATTCCTGCCCAAAAGTAAAATACACGCTTAGACGTGAAGTTGCGGAGTAAACTAAACCAACACTGACGTCACGTACGTACGACAAGTGTTATTAAAGGTTTATATTTAAATGAAATATTTGAGTATTTTGAATTTAATATTAACTGAACTTAAGCTGATTTCGTAACGAACCTCCAATATTGAAATGTTTTAAAGTTATCACCCTCATTAGAATCAAACGAGGAATCCTGAACTTAAAACTAGATTATGAAGATGCTATTAAGTATGAAAATATGAATACTAAACTAACACTAGGTAACGTCACGCATACACAGGTGCTGGAGAGAATACGACGCGCGCGACGGCAAGCCGCGGCCGAGTGCATCCAAGCGGCGTGGCGCCGCCACCGCGGCCGCGCGCCCCGCCCCCCGGCGCCCGCACCCCCCGCGCCCGCACCCCCTGCGCCCGCGCCCCCCGCGCGCCCCCGCCCCGCGCCCATCGCCGGCACGCCGCCACCGGAGCCGCCCGACAAGTGCGACCCCACACTCGTTAAGCGCACCTGCTCGTTATTCGGACTCGATCTCGTGAGTCACTCTTTAAATTTCTTTCAATTTGTCATTAACTATACTTTCTAGCACTTCCATAATATTCGCATAAAAACTATATTAAAAGGAAATTTGTGGTGTTTCGAGGAGCGACCACCACCGCTGCCACCGTCGCGTGCATACACGGTGGCGAACGGCGTGAAACTGGGCTATCCTCAGCAGCGTGTAGTCGCTGCCGACTGGACGGACGAGAGCGGCACGTTACGTCTTCGAGCCGGTGACACTGTGCTTGCTCTAGGCGCCGCTCGCCGAGGCCACATCGCTGTGCAGGTAAGGTTTTGCAACCGTAATGTAACGAACCCCCCCCCCCCATCTTTTTTCTTTTCTACTATATCCCACTTATACTTGTATTTCTTTAGAATCTATATCTGTAAGATATATAAATACATCTAATTTACGTGACCAGTATAACTTGATCTTTCTAAAGGTTTAAATATAGGCCGTTTAATAAATTTATGGCGTGATCGTCTTAGTTAGGACCCTTTTTTACGTTGTGATTGTATAGTAACTTAGTTCTTTTAGGTGTATCTTGGAAGAATGAATATTCACGAGAGCAATCGAAAGCTGTTGGTAGAGTCTTATAAGCTAGAGAACCCCGTTCACGAAGACAGAGCTCAAAAAGGTTAAGAACAATAAATTGTCCCTATTCCACTTGTATCTGGTTCACAACAGTCAATTCCTTATTAATTAATCCCTTCCCGCTTGGAAAAGGCTCACAATATTTATATCAAATACCAGTTACAAGGGCTTCGCTCTCCCACATTTTAAAAAAAATGTGGAGGAGGTACACGGCCCCACACACGCCGCGCACGGTGAGCGCCAACCATTTTAATGCGCTCCCCCCGAAGGGTACGCAAAGTTGGGAACTGGACCGTAGTCCACAGCAAAATAACTGGCGAACCAGTAAAAGAGGACTTGGCCCCTTGATAGTGCGTAAGCACAAACATCGACCGAAGTCGCGCATGTCAATGCGTGTAAACGCCATACAGAATACGATCAAATCCAGCCACAGTGAAATGTACGTCACACGGGTTAGGCAACAATAGGCACACTGACCATAAAAAGCCTTCCGTGAGCGCCACCACCTGCCAGACCGCCGTTCCTGCAGACGTGATGTAAGTGTAAGGCATCACCACCAATTGCATGGTCAGCACGGCCAATTGGCCGCAGAGCGTGTCATGAGTCTACCGCTCACCTCAAGGGAATGGGGTCCCACGTTGCGCGGCTTTCGGCCGCAGCCTTGAGAGCCTCCTCAGATTCTCCCTCCAGCTACCACCCGCATGAGGTCAACACATATGCTCCACCAACCAATACAATGGCAGATATAGCCAATAGGCAGTTATAAGATAATATTAATAATTCGCCATCAGAAAGGGTTTGTGTCACTGACGTTGAGTATATGCATTTTTCGATCATGTTTGTCTCACCCACCAACAAGTTGCCTTCAATCTCTCAAAGGTGGGAACTTTATAGAGATATATTATTAAGTTGTTATATAAAACATCATGGAGGGCAGACAGTCTGCAGCCCCGCTATGAAGGGACCCGACTTGGGCAAAGCTACTTAGGTTGTGAGTCAAACCAAGACGCAGAGAGCGCCATTGAGAATAGCGACTCGCCAAACAACCATCGTAGAGACGCAATGCTACAGAATGCAACAAGCATCAATACGACTATCGTCGGGCTTACACCATCCCAAGGTCCTCCATACAGACCCAGCAGACATCACCACCCGCATACCTCCATCGACCAGAACCACAAGATGCATCGAATCAGGTGCAGCACACCCGCAGATCCATCACAAGACACAATACTGCAAGTAGCAGTAAGCATCAATGCAACTATCATACGGATGGCGCCCCCTCACAACACACCCACATGATCCCTATCGACTTTGGTAAAAAAAATTGATAATGTTGTTAACTAAAAATACCACTAACGTATCATAGTAGTACGGTACTAAGACGTCAGTAGCCAAAACTCCACGTATCATAGCGCTATTGCACTAAGACATGAAGTTGAGTATGCTTGCTGCACTTAAAAGTACTACCAAACACACTCACCCTAATCCGAAAGATAGCCGACGTATCATAACGCTATGCGCTAAGACGCCGCCCACAACCGGTAGGGGTGTGCGATGTCCACGGGCAAGTCATATTGCTACAACAAACCCGCTTACCACCGGCACTAAGATGATATGTCTAGGACACATCGGTTAGTGAGTCCAAGTTTACCTCGGTCTCAGAGGCTGCGAAGCAACCTACACGCCACTATAATAATCCTTTTCAAGTCCCATTTCTTTCAATATAATGCTTTTACATATTTGAGACCTTCCACATATTTGCTTTATTTCATAGACCATACTACTGTATATCTTATTCATATGGGACTTCAAGTCATAACTCTGCTATCATAATGCTTATGCATCATAGAGACCTTCTATATTAATGCTTTGGTTCGTCAGACCTTACTATGTTAAGTCCCTAATATAGGACTAGTCATTGTGCAACCTTAGTACTAGCAGTCGGTCAGCCGACCACCCCATATATATGTACAACCTTGGGTATGTGTCTCCGACAACGCCCCAATATAAGGGAACATTACAAGAACACGTTCATTAACTTAAAAATTTTCCAATTATTACACGAACACCTTCATCAACTTGGGAAAATTTTAATCCATTTTTTCTATTATATTACAAATGTTATTTATCTTTGTTATTGCAATATAATCGCCTTGTATTTATATGATTTGATATATTTTGAACATTTTAAGCAGGTTTTTAATAAATTTAGAGATTTTTTGAGACATTTTATGCGTTTAATAATATATATAATATTCAATATTCCAAATGGATATTTTTGAACTCTATGCTTATTATTTGCATTTTATTGTTTAAATTATAATTTCTATGACATTTTTAAATGTCTGTATAATGAATTTAATTATTATTTATTAATAATAATTATGAGGCGTCACAGTAACAACGGTTGACCCGCCTCTACTATCTAGAGTCCTATATAATGTATTTATTTTAATGCACTTCCTTCTCATTTTAGTGCGACCTACCGATCTATTTTCTATGACGTAAGTGCTGTTAACCTACGCGGCACTTACAACTTCATCAGACACAGGGCTCGCGGCCTAGAAAAGGGAAATGCAATTATGAGGATGAAGATAATGTTGGTTTATGATTTGGTATTATTACCAATCATGTCCTCTCTGTTGATTTTTTAAGCTATCTAACAGTTGTCGGAGTGGGGGGGGGTGTAAAACCCTGACTTCTTAGCTCGTAACGGTAGATGTACGGACGATTTTCACCGCCCAGGTACGTGATCACTGTGAGCGCTGAGACATCTCCTTGAAATATTCGGAGATAGTGACACCCTACCCGTTTCTGTTATTTTTATTTATTTCTTTTTCTAGGTTATCTGGAAAAGATTTCTATGTCACAATTGCCATCTTTTCATTTTGCATACATGCAATTAAGCAAACTTTATTTTTGGTCCTTCGAGCCAGATATGAACCAGTTCTCTATGTATATAAAGTAGATGAGTATATTATGTATAGTAAATTTTAAACATTTCATATGATTGGTACATTGCTCTGGCTGTACAATGCAATATTTTCTATAACTTTTATTATTAAGTATTATATGTATACTAGGTGTAAGGCATTTTAGTTAAGAAAGTAAAGCAAGTATCCCTGGAGAGCTCATGGATACCTATTTAAAGACAAAAAGCTTAATATTAAGACAATTTTTAATAAAATAAAAGGTAATTCTCCTTTTAGTCTTTCGAAATCTTTTACTCCCGGGACTTCATGTCGAAAAAATAGATCACTAATTTAAAGCGCTTATACCTAGTCAGGTCATAAATTCTGTCACATGTTTAATATAAAATAATTGAAACAAGTTTATTCATTATGTAACCATTTATATACCAAAATGAACAAAACATAGATTCTTATGACACTAAAGTTTATTCAAAATGACCTCCGTGATTTTGAATACAGGCCTTCAATCTGCGCGGCCAGTCGTCTATCGCAGCACGAACGAGGTCCATGTCAATATCGGCGGCTGCCTTAATCAAGGATGTCTTGAGTGACTCCAAATTGGGATGAGGCTTTGAGCACGCCTTTTCCTCCAAGTGTTGCTTGTAATCTAACGGATTCAAATCTGGACTGGAGGAGGGCCAGTCTTCGTGCCGGATGAAGTCGATTTCACGCGCCGCCAGCCAGTCTTGTGTGCTCTTCGCTCTATGAGCTGGCGCCGAATCTTGTTGGAATACCCAGTGCCTGTTATTGAACATGGTTTGAGAAACAGGTTCCACAAGGTTCGTCAGGACTGTATTTTGATACACAACTGCAGTCGTATTTACACCTTTCTCACAAAAATGTACCTCTGTTAAGCACCAATAAGAAACTCCCAACCATAACATGAGCGAGGATGGAAAATGACCTCGTTGGACACGCGGAATACGGTTGCTCGCTTCTTCACTACTGTGTGCGTACACCTTATCATTTTGTTTGTTGTAGCTCTCTTCTACGGTAAAAATTTTTTTACCCGAAAAAAGAATTTCCCGATATTTTTTTCCCGCGTACCGCTTCAACAAAGCGCGGCATCTCTTCAGTCTCAGGTCCATTAGACGAGCATTCAAACGATGTCCTGTTTTTCTTCGATATGCCCGAAGCCCTAAGTCTTCATTTAACACCCTTTTCACCGTGGTTCTGCTTAACCCCATCTGAAGGGCCAACAGTTTCTGCTTACGTTTAGGATTTCTTAGAATTTGCGCCTTCACAGCTTTTATCACTGCTGGAGTCCTAACAGACCGAGGGCGACCACTTCTTGACCTGTCATATACACTAGAGTCTTCATTGTATCGTTTGATGGTACGATAAACAAATCTTTTGGTTATATTCAAATTTTTCAGTATGTCAAAAATTTGAATTGGCGCGTAACCGCAACGATGCAACGCCATAACTGCAACACGGTCTTCTTTAAGCGTCCACTTCATATTTAAAAATGAGTAAAATTCTAAAAAGTACACAGTTTTATTTTCATGAACAATTCGAAATTCGAATTCAATAAACTTTTTTGTGGCCAGCATTCTAAAAGAAAAGTTTTTACTGTGTGACATTACTTATGCCCTGATTAGGTATAAAGTTCCATGAATGAGAAAGCTTCATCATGATCGGACATAAGTTAGGACGTATGTGGGCAGGTGGTGGGCCGCACGGTGCCGGTGCCGCACAGCGTGCTGGCGCCGCCGCGCGCCGCGCGCCCGCAGCCGCCGCAGCCCCCGCCGCCCGCGCCCGCGCCCGCCCCCGCACCCGCCCTCGCTTGACCGACACGTCCCACTCCAAATGCCAACGGATACGTGCGTATTGTTTGAGTCAAACTTTATCAGTCAGAACGTTTGACGTACACTTGAGATGTTGTGTCAGAACAAACTGGATCAGTGTCGACACGCTCGCAATGGTATTTTTACATTTACAATTGAAATTTTGAGGTAAAAAATTAAAACTTAATTAAACGTCTTTTTTCAAATCATCATCCATTTGCATCACTCATTCTACGAACGCATAAATGTTTGACAAACATCAACACACGAATGTTTGACAAATCAGTCATAATATCGTACACGCTACACATGACTGCACTCAAATCTACTTGTTTCACTCAAAAGGTTCGCCCATGTCATCTGACCTATACTATTACAAAGCCAAATTATGGCGTTATAACCAGGACAAGAAAACTTAAAACCGAACTTGTATGTTAATTTTAAAAATCATTGCAACGTAATAACTTTTCGGTCATTGTCCATTTTATACTTTAATTAGGTCTTTGTCAAAACTTATTATTAAACATAGTCAATATTGAACAATATCCACTACCCAATATTGTCCTGGTTTCATGGGTGATATGGAGTGTAGAGTAGAAGGAGAACTATCTTATAATGTGCGAAAGTTGAAAAAGTGTCCCACTATATACTGAAAATAGAGGTTCCAAAACCTACCACAATAGCGCTGGCGTCTGAAAAACTACGATATGAATATAGCTGTTGTAGACGGAGTGAACTCACCTGAATTCAAATATTTAAAAAATTTAATGACTAGAGTAGTTAGTAAAATGCCAGTATAAAAAACCTCAACTATTTACGTAGTACAAAATCAAGCGGATACGTCGTTTCTTGTTTATTTCTCCATCTTATTCTAATAATTTTTGGCGTTTTTTTTTTTTAAATTTTACCTATGCTACTTCAGCGCCACATATACAAAGATGGTCCTCCTTCTACTCTACACTCCATAATGGGTGACAAAGGAAAACAAACCATGAGATGGGCAGCAACGTCTTCCTCATGCCTACTAGCAAAATAAAAAACTGTGATTGCCGACCCGGCTGCCAAGCCTGGCAACTTTAGCAAATATCCTCCTTATGAGGCAATATGTAGAAAGGCCTATGTTCAACAGTGCAGTTTGAAAGACTAATGTCAAAAAGGCAGTCCGACGACTTGCATTTGAAGTAATTTGTTGGTGCTTCAGCTGCGTTCTAAATAATGTCGGTGGTGCTTTTAACTAATCGTTTCACCCACGAGGGTTTTGTCTGTACCCTTTTATTTGATGTGTCAATAACTTACCTGTTGTATTGTACCTATCCCATATAAATATCGAGGATTTTTTATCTGTACCGTCTTATTTTACGTGTCAATAATTTATTAAGTACCTATTGTAATATTATAGTTCGGATACTCACACTAAGTATACATATTTATGACAGTTACAATGTCGTTGATAATAACACTAAGCTAGAGAGTGAGCATGTTAAACGTCTTCTTCACGGTCCATCTTGCTGTACGTCCCCACATTATGTCAAGTATAATCATTGTCTTTTAGCATCGTACGTCGTGCATGACCTTGGCGTGACGTACAGCATGATGGACAATGAGTAAGGCGCTTTAACTTTACAATCGATGGTGACCTAAAAGACTCGTGAACGAAAAAACATATAGCTGTCTTTAAATTCAATGATTGACTGATTCTTTATACATACAGTGCCTTATATTCAAATTAAGTGTAAATAATAAAAATAAGTATTTATGTGAGCGGTCGGGTAAGTGCGCGCGCCGCACAGCACCGGCCATGGACCCACAGTATTATAGAGCCGTGGCCGAGACTTGCCAGTCTTTTAAGCTAAAATAACGATACTATTATGTCCTAATAAAGAATTCGCAAAAAATAATATACGTAATAATTTAACATATCATTCATAGTTCTACGTTCAAAATTATTTAATCTAAGTTTTAGTGTAAGCGACTGTAAAGTGAATCGATGTTAGACGTAAGCTTTAAATTTATTGTAAACATAATAGAGTTGTGAAACATTTATTACTTGTATAATGTAAGTGACAACATGAATTATAGCATTTTTCACGTAACGCGACCCCTGTGACACCATAATATTATGTCAAATCGTAAGTAAAAAAACAATTAAAACATATCGATCTTTATTTTAAAATTCAAAATCAATTTCGTTTAAAAATTACTACGTGATAGTAGATTTCTTTCCCAAAACCATTACTAAAATAAAGACTCGCGTAGATTCAAAGCTTTATCACCGTAATTATTTTTTCATATTTTGGTAATAACTTCCATGGCATTTCCACATACATATTTCATTAGAAAATAGTAACTACAAGCTATATTTAATTATTCAGGTAGTTATAACCAATTAATACCATTTTAATATTTTTAAATTGGTACTTTTTTTTCTGAATATTTGATAGACAAGGTGATAACGATCGTGTTCCGTGAAAAACGCCATAAGTCTCACATTATTTTTAATTAAGGAATCCAAATTTCTTATACCTGTTGGTGTGTAGTATCTGTAGTACCTAATACAAGAGCTCAATCAGCAAGCTGTTACCACGTATAATTACATTGCCCCTCACAGTTACACCGCGGTCACTATCATCATTTATTGTTTCATCATAAATTATAGGTTAGAAAAAACTTATATTCAGCTAAAAAAAAAGTTAAATCTTGTATTTCACTATTATTTGTAAAATCCGATATCAGTATATTGAACTGACATTATGACAGGCTGAAATATATTCGAAATATGTATGGAACTTTACTCTTACATGTATTTCAGATGAAATAGTGTAATATTAATGAAAAATATTTCAATAATTCCAATATCATCTGTTGCACATGTATCATTACTAGGATTTTTAATTCAAAATACTAGAAAGGACTGTCAGAGTGACAAGTGAAGTACATAATTTGTATAGGTTTTTTTTTTCAATATATTATAATAATACTGTAGGAAGCAACATAATATGCTTCGTATAAACACTGAGGTTGTAATGGATGACATTCTTCTTTGCTTCGAGATCTTGGTGATGATTTTCCGAAGTGAAATTAAAAATCCTAGTAAAAAATAAAATAAGCATCATCTTACTGGATGGACAGTACCGCGGGACAGTATTCCGCCTATCCTTTTGAGTACTTCAAACACATCTTCAGAACTTGTGCGTGGCTCTCATAAAACTTGCCAACGAGTCTGATATTCTTCAAAAATGTATGATGTAGTGGATAAGGTACAAAATAAAGATTATATTTAAAATACTCATCCTTTTATTTCTCATAGTTAATACACAAAATACCTCTGGAATGTAAAAAAAAATGCGGCAAGTAGCGTGGGCGGCGCAATTCAGTGATATCGATCTCATTTCATAATAAGACTATGATTAGTTTTTAGGTGAAGAAGTAAGCTCAATTTTTTTTTCACAAACTAACAATATCATTTGCTATCATATAAAATGATAGTTTTTCAAAAATGGAAACACTATTCCGATCTAAAAAAATGAGTGACAGAGATACAACACTGCAAAATGAGAATTGCTTACTTAATGGTAATAATTAGGCAGTAAAATGTTTATAATCAGGTATGGAGTAAATATACAATAGCACATATTGCAGCATATTATACTTAATTAAAATGTTCATAATTAAAAAATCATATTACGTAAACATTGTTTATTTCTCTTTGGGTAGAGTTTATGCAGGAACTTAACCACCGACGGCTTGATGCCCCTTTTATTTTTTAAATAATGTAAAATAAGGCGCACGTAAAAAATTATTTGGGACTGATATTAAAAATGCTTCCATGGTGGTATAAACATTGCCAGTTTTTATCCGCTTTAGCGGCTTGAGATACTATCGTCATCAACTGTCCGCTGGATTATGTTATCGTCAAAATCTCCCAAAAACTTCTCAATGTGATGCATCAGATACACATTAGACTAGGCTGTATAGTCTGAGACCTTTGCCTGTCTTAAAAGTCACCGTAGGATACGTCACCCACACAATCCTCGGAACAGAGTTAAATATTTTGGCATTGTTGGGCTGATTTCATGGGTAACAATTTTGAAATAACGTGTAATAAGCTTTAATGATGAACATTTTATGTTTAAGCTTATAAACTGGTTGCTTGTACGCCGCCCCAGACCACAGGCGATATTTGTGCCGCCGAGTGAGGCAATTTTACAAAGACCTGTGCGGATCACTGTTAATTTTCGCATTGAGTAGACATTGTTATTGCTTTATATTAGACTTAAAAATTTGTATATTTTCCATTTAGGACTTTAACAATTTAACTTTGTTAAATATTTTATATCTATAAAATTTCACAGATGTATTTGTATAAGTTCCTAAACAATTTTTATGAAAAGCTTTATGCAGTTGGACCATTATGGACAAGTATACAATAATTTTGTTCTTGTCTCGCAGTAGTCCGCACAGGTACGCACAGTCACCACTAATCCAATAATAAAGCTACTACTTCTACATATTTCTCTCGTTTATTTAACAACATTTAATATAATATATAGTCAATTTATTTCAAAATCCATTATAATATCGAGATAACTACAAGGTTAATGCAACTTAGTATTTAAACTAACAACGACAGCAACAATAAGGGTCCCGGCAATAAACACGTGGAGTTACCACATCTCTAGTTATATTGTAATATTTAGTTTCGTTGAGTTATCACAAGGAAGCGATGCGCGCGCACATGGCAATATTGTTGAGCTCCAAGCTCGTAACAATATTTAACACGTAGAGATAAATATCATGTAAAAGCTAAAACGATAGTTCTACCATGTATACGCTTACAACATTTTACATATTATATCAAAGAACATTTTTAATATGTAACCAAAATATTTCACAACAATTTCATAGTAAGCATTTTATTATAGAATTATTAAACATTTTCAAATTTCAATTATTTTTACTCATTACCTTCTTACGTGCCTTTCCAAATATAATTTAAGATATCTATAATCTAAACACTTTACAAAGTTAATTTGAGATGTAATAGATATGCAAAGAAGCAAGGTCTACAAGTTATCTAAAGCAGAGGTACAATACAGTAATGGTGGGAAACAGTCCCGAAGCTACTGAAAATTTGGCCACTTGGTTTTGGTACATGCATACTATACAATAATAAAGTTTTTATGAAAAATACACCAGTATATAATTCATGAAATGAGAACATATTCTACAAGATACTGCATACCATAATACTGACTAACGAATTAATAATTCTTATGATTAAATACATCGAAATTGAACCCGGCTTCTCACAATCACACTCACGTAAGTGCTTCAAGTGTTATAAAATACAGATTGTCAAAAATTGTATATAAAAAAGCAATAAAACAGTGCGTAGTGAAATATAATGCAAAAGTTCTCTATACTAAATTGAGACGTACCGTGTCTCAGTATCCAGTGCAGCCATTTTACAATTAAACACCTGGCAACACTTATATAAAACGTCAAAAATTTTGAGTGAGATCGTATGTTACTAATAAGAATAAAAAATTATTTTCTAAAATGCATGCATGTAAAGTTATATAAAAACTCTTAATACTCTAAAACAAGAATCAAATATCTTAGATTTTTTAAATTGCTCGTATCTTTATGAGACACACACGACAGTACCGAGTCGGCAAGGTACGAGTCGGGACATTTGACGATTTTGGTGAAATTTATGGGAGGGATAAAGTTAGTCCCTGGACCGTCAATTGGATAATTTATCTTTATTTCAATTCCATACAAGATACAACTACATGAGACATAGAATAAAACTTTACTAATAATTTTACGGATTATATCGCGTATATTTTAACTTACTTTTGATTTCCGACGTTTCGGGTGTTTTACAGCACCCATGGGCCGGGCTAGCTGTGACATAGGGACGTCAAGGACCTCAGTCCCCCCCGTGACCATGGGTGCTATAAAGCACCGGAAACGTTGGGAATTAAAAAAAAAAAGTCTTAAAATTAGTTTTATTCAATTTCTAGTAATTATATAAATATAAGAAATCATTACAATGGATATTTACTTTACGTCCAAACTACGATGTTGCATTATCATTCTAAATTGTCAAATCTAAATATTTCGATTTCTTTTTTGATGACGACCTAATGTTAAAGTAAACCATTCTTAATTTTATGAACCAAAATCCCGTGTCACGATGTTCGTTCTCGCTAATGTACGAAATTGCTAAACCGATGTTAATGTATTTTTGTAAATTATGCGTTGACTTGAGAGATACAATAATTTTTATCCCGATAAGTGGCCCTGAATATTTTATTACGAATTAAAAAAACATTATAGGACACATGTCGTGGAAAAGGGCAGAACATCGTCTGCCTAGCCAACTACGTTTAATAAATATTGATTATGTTTCTTCATTACTTTTTGCACTGTACAACAGGTCGGAAAAAGAAATGTTTTACTAACATAGAAACCACGCATTAAAAAAATTATTTTAATTAAAAACCAAGCATTCCACAACGCGATATATCATACAGTAAATAAGAACGAAAACGTATGAAAGGATGAAAGTAAACGACTACCGAGTATTCAATCAAACCATATAGGTTAGCCACATCATTTTTTTTTTGCGGATCTTAGCTAATTAATTTTTAACATCTTTAATTGAAACTAAACGAATTTGTGGTCAATGTTTTTCTTTTTTTATCTGAAATTAGCCACTGGACCTAACACATAAGGTCAATTAGTATTGGCCGCATGATTGTTTCAACTTTTTCTACCGACTGATAAATTTTTAAAGGATGCTCAGTCCATTCTCTATGTCAATCAGTACACAGACAATAATTATTTATTAATTTAACGTTTATGTTCCTAACGTTCGGTGCTCATAACACAAGTTTTTGACATTATTAGCTTTTTTATAAATGGCTGCAGTGGCCCATAAACATCTAAATCTATCTTTAATTAAGAATCAAAATGCAGATACGTTGTCACAGCGTGGACTAAGATGGAAAGCCTCCTTTTCAGTAAAATAAGTTTCCGGTTCTCTACATTGCTATTCTGTGAGAGCTTAGTCCTACAGCGGTTGAGCCAACCCATTCGTGCTACAATCATAATATAGCTGCAGCGTGGGCCTAGCACTGTGTTAATTATTAACAGCGCCCCTGACAAATGTAAATGGAACTACGTTTTAACATACACTCGATAGCGATACAACAAACAAACTCTAGCTTAGAGGTCAGTTTATAAAAGTGCCAAAAACGTACACACATTAACACAGAGTAGTAACACTTAGTAATACGAGTTTATTCAAAAATCCCTCAAAATATAAAATTACAATGTCCATTTACATTCCCTTTGTCAGGTAGAAACCGCTTAGATCGTTTCTAGTTTATCAAGTTTTATGTTATTGTAAAAAAAATTATGATTAAATGCAATAAAGAGAATTATCTAATACAAGTATAATATTATAAAGAACACAATACAGTATCAATAGACACGGCGTCTAGCGCCAGTTGAACACACGCGATAAGGCAGTGACGTACAAGTTAAACCCGCATATTGCTCTCAGGAAATGCGCGGCAACACCACTTCAGCTCCTACAAATTATGATAAGCTGCTAAAAATAATCGTATACGCCAAAAGTAACGCGATAATACATGTTTCGTATTGGCAAATAAAATACTAAATAACTAATTATTGGCAAAGCCAGTTTTGGCAGAAGCTCAAACTGTGTTGAGAGCATCTTGTAATATAAAAAGTGAATGTAATTTAAAACAAGTATTGCCTTTGGATGCAATCCAGAAGGCAGGCTAATCTACGCTACTTCGTTTTACATAAAGAAATTTAAAAACAAATAAATTTAACTTAATGTGACAATAACGATGACGATGTTTTCAAAATAAAATTCGAGTTTAACTCCAACCTGAAGTTATTATATTCGAGAATGTGTCAAAATTAGCCAAGCTTTTTTTATATTTTTCAGATAAGCTACAGAGTACAAATGATAATGTGCCACAGACCATCCCGGGCACAGATAATAAATACAAAAATTTCACAGAACATTCACATAACTTAAAAATGATAGACATTAAGACCAACTAAGAGAGATAGACGGAGCGCTGCGTACATTTTAAGTAAAACCAAAACCATGTTCAACTCATTGTATGAACATGAATGAGCGCACATACCCATCTCAAATTATTCGCAAACTTTGAAGCATTGTGTTAAGTGCAAAGGAGTAAGGAGTACGTGTAAATGATTGTCAAAAACTAAGCACGGTTTCGGCGTCACTTGAAATGTATGAAGTTAGGTTCGTACTATCCGCTAGCTCGCCCCTTATCTCCCCCGCTTCCGGTTCTAAGTTAGACAGTACACATGTTTATGCAGACCGTCCCGGACACAGATAAAAAATACAAAGATGTGATGTTAGGTCCATACCGTCCGCTAGCACGCCCTTTTCTCCCCCATTTCCAACTCTAACATAAACCGTTTCGAACACAGATACTAAATAGAAAGATGTGAAATTAGGTTCGTAGCGTCCGCTAGGTCGCCCCTTTTCTGTCCCACTTCCGGCTCTAACCACGTCCCCGATGCCCGGCACCGAGGGGGCAGTCAGGCGTGCACACGTGTGGGCGTTAGGGGGCGAACAATGCCCGACAGAAGAGCGGGCAACGTCGACGCTAGTTGCGCGGTATCGGTGTGCTGCTCACCGCTGAAGGCGCTCGTCGTTCTAGCGAGCTCGGCGTGGCCGGCGTGTGCGGCGTGTCCGGCGTGGCCGGCGTGGCAGCCGTGGCCGCGGCGTGCGTGTCGGCGTGCGTGGACGCAGCGTCCTCGGCCGTGTCGCTCGCGCACAGCGACGCGAACACGTGGCTGGCGGACACCTCGCGCACGCAGCGACGTTGCTCCGCTGCGGAATAAATACGTTCGCTTATGCTCACCAGTGTATACTTTTTTTAATTGAATAAGAGTGTCAAACGAGCACACAGTCTACCTGATGGGTAAGTGGATGCTGTGGCTCATAGACATCTACATCTATCCTAGATTATATATATACCAATCAAGATGCAGATGCGTTGCCACGCGTGAAGACTAAGATGGAATACCTCGTATCCTGTGAAAACTGTCTCCGGCTCTCTACACTCACCAGACAAAACACAGCAGCGTTAAGCTGATATGATTTTGGATTTGGGATGGAGCTACGTTACATTAGGTAAAGTTTAAAATAATTTTATAGTGGTAACTATAATATTATTTCAAACGTACCTACTGTTAAATATTAAGATACAAGTTCATTATCAACATCATTCTCTTTATGCAAATCAGAGGCAAGAAATGAAATGAAAAAAAATTAATAATAACTACTAGCAAGTACACTCAAGGGGCGCACACCCAGAGCTGCCGACTGACAGGGACTCCGAAATGTTGAAAAAAAATTTTTATAATAATACAATATTTTAATATATGTACAAATGCCAGTCAATTCTTTTGGTCTGATTCCTAACGTGGTCTGTCCCAAAGCACATCATTCTAAAAGTAAGTACGTGAGTGGAGTAAAAAAAATCAAAATATACACAAATACGTATATACATATAAATAAAACTAAAGTGTCTGTCTTCTATTAAGCTTAAGGAATAATTTGCATGCTTATAGACATAAATAACCATTTTTAAAAGTTTTGTCCGGGCTAATGTTCGGAATGCTGAACTCATTATGATGAAACTTCACAAACCGATAGTGAGCAATGCCAAGAGGGATCTAGGCTATATTTTCTGCCGATTTCCAAAAAGAAGACGGTATTCAATTCGACTGTATGTTTTTTTTTATGTGTGTTACCTTATAACTTTTTACTGGTTGAACCGTTTTGGATGATTATTATTTATTTGAAAGCTAGTACATCTCATGTGGTTCCATATGAATTTGATCAAGGTCAGACCAATAGTTTTTGAGTTATTCTTAATAACGTATATTGAAGTCGGCTGTACAACATTTTATTCGAAAAACTTTAAGTTTTTCGAATAAACAACAAAAGCAACAGGCGTACACATATTAAAGGAGAATGGGATTTTTGGGCCTGCAGTTAACTGATTGGTTCATACTTCAAAAAATTAGCTATATTTTTCTAAAGTTAAATACAAAAAATTTGGTCTTTTTACAATCGAGAATTTGATAAAACAATAAAATAATAAATAAGTTAATAAAATTAGATAATAAAATAATAAATAAAAACGATTGTATTGATACAATCGATTTCATATTGATTCGGATCCAAAAAATAAAATGGAAAAGCTTCCAAGGTTTCATTAAAATTCTATTATTTACTTTGAATTATATACCTATTAGTTTGTAAATAAAATATATTATTCGCATAAGAAAAAAGAAATAAACATTTATTGACAATAAATCCATTACCATAAAGAATTCACAAGTGGAATTCTCGTTTCTGAACGCTACTTACCAGTACTTCTCATTAGTTTGTGCCACCTAAACATAGTGATTATATCCTCTTCGGTGCTACCGACCAATGAAGGACTTCTCATTTTCAAACTTGACTTAACAGTTCAAACTTTTAAAACTATTCACTTAAAAGAAAATGACCGATTTGAGGTTTGATTTGAAAAGAGCGCAAAATAATTGTTTCACGATTAAATTCAGCATTTTAATTAATATCTATTTTTGATTATTTTTCTGTATTAACTAGGGAGATAAAAAAATTGCGAACATATCTACAAAATAAAAATAAAAAACATGTGTGCAGTTCACACACGGTAGAAATGAAGCCTTCACAAAAGGATACCGAAATAATAAGAAACACTGTATCCTGTATTCTATCTCCTTTCCTCGCAGGCTAAATCCTATAAATACATCCTACGTTGTCTCTTTTTGGTTTCATCGAATTTCAAATCACAACGATTCTAAAGAAGTTTTCACTTCAATAACAAAAAAATACAAAATATCAACATGCCAACATGCCAACATGCCAACAAATAATAGTAACGACAATAATTCAAGTAATCGATATGCCTGATATTCAATTAAATTAGTTGTTGTTGTTTTAACTTTCGTGAATCGTTTCATCGTTTCGTTTCCTTAATAACCACAGCTTATATTTGGTGATTTTATACTGATTCTGCTTTTATATCATTAAATAATTAATTAAAAAATATTCTGTTACATTTTAATTACATTCAAAATCGCCTATTACAGGTTAGGTAATACTATACACTTAGGATATACTATATTTAACATCTGGGCTCAAGAATGTATGGAGACGTCTCCTTCTTTTTTCGGTATAGGCAAAAATAAAAGAGAATTTTAACTTAAATATGTTACATAATAATAATAAAAAAAATCAAATAAACCCCCGAAACAAAAAGAGCGGATGATCTTCAAGCGGCTGAAAAGATTTTCTTGCTTCATAGGTTCATAGAACACTCTCGATCAAGTCACCTTTCAAACAAACAAAAAAAACTAAATCTAAATCGGTTGATCCGCTTGGTAGCTACGATGTCACAAACAGACAAGATACGTTAAACATATAACACGCCTCTTTTTCGTCGGGTGTTAACAAGAAATCCAACATTACTAAGAAAAAAGAAATAAAATGAAAAAATAAATCAGTTAAAACCAAAAATGGATATGTGTTATTATATATTGCGCTATGTAAAAAAGTATAGTTTAAAGGCAACTAAAAATTCTTAAAAATAAAACTAAAATCAATTACATCGTACACAAGCAATTGTTGTACCATATCAAATAAACCAAACTTAGTTTATGCTTTTCTGTATCATCATCATCATCATCATCATTACAGCCCTTCACAAGTCCACTGCTGAACATAGGCCTCCCCCAAAGAATGCCACAAAACACGGTCCTGAGCCACCTGCATCCATCGACTTCCTGCATGTCTTACCAGGTCGTCACTCCATCTCGTGGGGGGACGCCCTACACTTCGCCTACCGGTACGAGGCTGCCACTCGAGAACCTTTCTTCCCCATCGGTTGTCGGTTCTTCGAGCTATATGGCCGGCCCACTGCCACTTCAGCTTACTAATCCGTTGGGCTATGTCGGTCACTCTGGTTCTACTGCGGATATCCTCATTCCTAAGTTTATCACGCAGAGAAACTCCGAGCATAGCCCTCTCCATAGCTCGCTGAGCGACCTTGAGCTTCCTCATACGGCCAGCAGTGAAGGACCACGTCTCAGTTCCGTAAGTCATCACTGGCAACACGCACTGGTTGTACAATTTCGTTTTAAGGTTTTGAGGTATGTCTGACGAGAAGATGTGTCGTAGCTTCCCGAACGCTGCCCAGCCGAGTTGAATCCGTCGATTGACCTCTCGGTCGAAGTTGGACTTACCCAGTCGGACTATTTGTCCCAGGTAAACATACTCGTCAACAACTTCGAGTTTAGTGTTCCCAACAACTATCGGCATAGGTGTGACATGGACATTAAACATGATCTTAGTTTTGTCCATGTTCATCTTAAGACCTATCCGTTGGGAAACACTATTGAGGTCATTGAGCATAGTGCTTAGGTCCTCCAGCGATTCTGCCATAAGGACTATATCGTCGGCAAATCGAAGGTGAGTGATGTACTCGCCATTGATGTTGATACCGTATCCTTTCCAGTCCAGAAGCTTGAAAACGTCTTCCAATGCAGCGGTGAAGAGTTTCGGGGATATGACGTCACCCTGTCTTACACCTCTCTGCAATTGGATAGGTTTCGTACTCTGGTTCTGTACTCGGATAGCCATCGTAGCCCTACTGTACAAGCACTTCAACACTTCGATATACCGACAGTCAACTTGGCACCGCTGAAGGGACTGCAGCACCGCCCAAATTTCGACGGAATCAAAGGCTTTCTCATAGTCCACATACGCCAGACATAGTGGCAAATTGTACTCTTCGGACTTCTGTACAACTTGCCGAAGGGTATGTATGTGGTCTATGGTGCTAAAGCCCTTTCGGAAACCGGCCTGTTCGGGAGGCTGGAAGTCGTCAAGTCTGCGCGCGAGACGATTCGTAATGACTCTCGAAAACAGCACGTAGACGCGGCTCAGTAGGGAAATCGGTCTGTAGTTCTTCAAGAGAGCGTTGTCACCTTTCTTGAAGAACAAGACCACCGCACTTCTGCTCCACGCCTCCGGTGTAATGCCACCATGGAGGACGGAATTAAAGAGCTTCTGAAGGACTTCAAGTACCGGTCTTCCACCCGCTTTCAGAAGCTCCGCTGTAATTCCATCCTCGCCTGGGGCCTTACCGTTTTTAAGGTGCTGGAGAGCCATCCTAATCTCGCTCAGACTGACATCCGGGATATCTTCGGAATAGTGTCGGATGAGACTCGCTCTTGGATCGTTACTCACACTTGCGTGTGGCTCCAACGATGATGTGTACAGCTGCCCATAGAACCTCTCAATCTCACTCAAAATCTCAGGTGTCCCGGAAACGATGCTGCCACATTCTGTCTTCAGCTTTGACAGTTGGCTCTTTCTGGCAGACAGATCTCTGGCAAAGACTTTGGAGCCTTGGTTCCGCTCGATCGCTTCTTCAATACGAGCTGTATTGAAGTTGCGTAAGTCCCGCCGCATGCATTTGGAGATCTGTCTGTTCAGATGCCTGTATGCTGTCAAGTCTGTTGAAGAATGTAGCTTCATCTCCCGTCTAACAGCCATGAGATTAAGAGTGTGATCGGAGAGTTTTTGTGTTCTTCTGCGGCGGGTCTTGCAGAACTTAGCTCCAACCGCATGGACAGTTTCCACGAGCTTGTCATTCATATCGTCCACTTCATTGCAGTCTTCTAGGCACTGAAAACGGTTTTAAAACTCGAGCTGAAAGGTTTCGGGACTTTGAAACAGAGCACGAGGGGGACGGAGCGTTGACTTCATTAGACGAGACCTCTCCAACTTAACGTTTAGGTTCAGTGTGCCTCTAACCATTCGGTGATCGCTACCAGTTTTCACCCTCGCGATCACGGAGACATCACTGAACAGTTGTCGTCTGGTCGTCATAATGAAGTCAATCTCATTTTTTGTGGAACCGTCGGGGCTCGACCAGGTCCACTTCCTGTGGGGCCGCTTCTGGAAGAAAGAGTTCATCATAAAGAGTCCCTCTTTCTCCATGAAGTCGGCCAGCTGCTGGCCCCTTGGGTTCCGTTGCCCTATTCCAAATTTCCCTACTTTCAGCTCACCGTTCTCTCTTGTGCCTAGTTTTGCATTGAAGTCTCCCATTAACACCGTATATTGGGTTTTGGAGGAATGCATGGCTCTAGAGATATCCTCATACATTTCCTCCACCTCCTCATCGGGGTGTGCCGAGGTTGGTGCGTAAACCTGTATGACCTTCAGCGAATACCGTTTGGTGATTCTGAGTATAAGGTACGCAACCCTCGTCGACACACTCCCGATTTTTACAACGTTGTTAACGAGAGACTTGTGGACGATAAATCCGACACCTCCTTGGGACAGATGGTCGCCCTCCCGGTGATAGAGCAAGTTGCCGGATTCGAGGATTACCGTGTCCTCCCCCTCTCTTCGGACTTCAGATAATCCTATAATATTTTTTTTTTTTTTAATAAAAACGTTACCCCCACACTAGGATTTTCTCCTGTGTCGTGGAGGCAGTTTACAAACATAAATTGCACAAGGACAAACATCCAGACCCGGAACAATTATTTGTAGGCCATACAAATACTTGTTCCGTGCGGGATTCGAACCCGCGGCCCCCAGCGCAACAACTGATTGCTAAGCCACTGTGCCACGGAGCCGTCAAAAAATATGCCAGCGCAACTTGTCTATCTCTTCTTCCAGCTCCACGATCTTCTCGTCAGTCCTCAGGGTGCGTGCGTTGTACGTTGCCAGGTCGAGTCGTCTAAGGTGGCAACCGAACCTCCACCGGAGATTCTTAGCACCCCCTGCCCCGCCGTTACCATGGTCGCCACCGTAGCCAGGAATAGCGGGGCCGCCGGGGACTGGGGGCCGTTTTTTTGTTGCTCTCATCATTGGGGGGTATTTGCCATAGTTGCCACGCTTGGCGAGCGGGTTGGCAACCGCAGTTTTTTTATTGTCATTTGGCTATTATCAGGAAGATGCTGCTGCCCATCTCCTGGCTGTTTCCCTTTGTCGCCTTTTACGACACCCACGGGAGGATATGGGGTAGTGGATATTCTTGACCGCCACTACAAGGCTTTTCTGTATGATCTCATACAATAATGTTTCAATGGTGTAGGCCTGAAAACGTGACTGCAAGCGGAGGATCCGCGAAACCGTTCAGCCAGAATAAAATATGGCGGTTATGATTCCTCTCGTAATATATGGGGTTATTTTTTCGAGCAGCAGAAATTCAGTCAATCGGGATCTGTACGCAGCAGTTATAACACATGGGCAGATTATGTATAACCATTATTTATTTATTTATGCTTTATTGCTATAACCTAAAAAGATAAAAGGGTTACAAAGGGAGGACTTACTCATATATATGACCAGGATTAAAAAAGGAATGCTTCGGTGGTTTGGTCATATAGAAAGAATGAACGAGGAAAGAGTGACAAAGCAAATTTATGTTGCAGGAGTAAACAGCATAGTCGGGAAGGGACGCCCTAGACAAAGGTTTATCGACCAAGTGGCGATATATTAAAAATGGGCCAGATTAGGAGTACCCTTAACCGACGAGCGCGTATGCGTAGATATATGGATGTAAAGGAGGCGAAAGAGGTGTGTCAGGATCGCGCCAAATGGAAGTCCGTAGCCTCTGCTTACCCTCTGGGTGACAGGCGTGAGTGTTTATGTATGTGTATATATATAAATAATATATATTAGTGCGTGAGTGCGTGAGTGCGTGCGTGCGTGCGTGCGTGCGTGCGTGCGTGCGTGCGTGCTTGCGTGTGTGTGTGTGTGTGTAGCCGACATAGACTAGTCTAGTTTGAAGCATAACAGCAACGACGTCGTACGGGAATCGTGTCACACAAGCCTTCGATTCTGCAAATGTAGAGTCCTTTAATTGTATTCGTACTTGATATTCTAGCGGTGTATATGACATTATACGAGGTCGATTTAATATGGTAGTACAGCTGCAAGTAGTGACGTCCAATTTCTGCTTTAAGTCACTGATGTCGATTGTTAACACTAACATCGTCGATAAAAGGAGCGCTTGCTTGTTCCTTCCACTCGTATCATGTCTAAAGGGCAGTAAGAGACGGGAAACGCGCACACAATAACTGCACGTTTTACAGTACACACAAAGAGACGGTCTCAACATATTGTAAAAATGAAATGGAAAGTTCAATGCTATAGGCCTCGCCCATGGGTAGCCTCATAGGGGATATTTTCCGTAGTTAACACACTTGGGTTGGCAACTGCAGTTTGTTATTATTTTGAATCGTTATCAGGGAGATGCTGCCGCCCATCTGTTTAATTTCTCTCCGACACCTCTTACAACACCACGATATGATATGTGATAGTAACAAGTAATCTGCTACGTTTATTTATAATGTAACTTTTTATAGGAATAGCAATCAGGAGATAACGCAAACATCGACACCAACGAAATTGTCAATTGCAATTTTAAGTGCTGCGTTATCAGTTACCTGGCTGTGAATGTGCTTGGATATGGATGGATATGTGCCGTCCACCAACAAGCAATAGGGCAACGTGGTGAACTTTTCCCTGTTCCAAATCCATATTAGATATGACGTGTACAATGGTAGAGTCATGCTTCAGTTTTACTATATTTGTAGCATGAAAGCTCCATGACGATGGTCTTACAAAATACCAGCGTAAAATAGCAGCGTAATGCTGCTGTGTTTAGTATGATGAGTGTAGACCGTAGACCCTGTTTACTGCATACGAGTCATTTCATGTTAGTCCTCAGGGATGACAACGCATCTGCATTTTGATTCTAAGTCGGGCATAAATGTGGAGGTCTATTGGCCACAGCGTCCACTTACCATCAGAAAGACAATGTGCTCGTTTGTCACCCTTAATTCTATAAAAAAGGAGGCTTACGATCAAAAGTGGTATGTATATAAGCTGGAACGTCACACCACAGGTAACGTCGTATGATAACCGCATTATAGAATCCGGTAGTCCACTTCGTCAAGGATAAAGATAACTTCCGGTGCGTTTAGTAAGCATAAGGATCTTGGGCTCACCGATCATGTTGTGCAGGTTGTCGATTACAACTTCGGTGTTGTAGGTGGCGTCCACAGCGCGCTGCAGAAACGCCGTCCACGTGCTTAGCTCCGCCTCCTGGAAAACAATAAACAACCATTTAGCATCATATGCACAGAAGTATCCAAATAAATTAAAATTAGGTAATAATGTTCATTCAACTGTGTAACTAGGTAAATAGGTAAACACCGAATACTTAGTGCACAATACAAAATACAATACAAAATTTGAAAATAAATAAAAACTAAAAAGATTTAGTAGGTACAAAGAAATATCAATATATTGATAAACTAAATCATTAACAGTTTTAAGTTCGTTAGTATTTTATGCCGAAAAACGTTAAAAGAGTCGTGGTGAATATCTACTACATTATTAATAAGTATTTAAAAGTTTGCAAACTTTGGATATTGGGTCATTTAATCCTAGTACAGTAATTCTACGAAGGGGCGGCTAAAAAGGAGTAATGAATTTACGAGGATAATTTTTATTATTTTTTTAATTATTTACGTATATCAAAATACAGATGCGTTGCCACCCCTGAAGACTAACATGGAATGGCCGTTACCAACAAAAATGGTCGCCGGTTCTCTACACTGACTACACACAGAAGATGTTTTCTTCCTCGCACGACTTCCTTGTGGAATCGATTACCATCAGCGATTTTTCCGGACCGATACGACTTAGGGACCTTCAAGAAAAGAGCGTGCTCCTTTTTAAAAGGCCGGCAAAGCATCTGCAATTCCCTCCCTGGTGTTGCAGTTGTTCATGGGCGGCAGTAGTCACTTACCATCAGGTGAGCCGCATGCTCGTTTGCCCCCTCTCCTATAAAAAAAAAAATACGAAACGCAGCAGAAGTGTGTTCTGTGAGAGCTTGGTTTTACTAACTTCACGTGTCTTTGAAATATTTTTTTACGTTTCTCAGCCGTGCACGTTTCCTCACGATGTTTTCTTTTACCGCAGAGCACGTGGTAGCCCAGAGGCTACGCGATCGCTGTCAATTTCTCAGTACGCAAGCAAGTCGGGTTCGATCCTCGCCGGCACCAATGAACTTGTTAATTTTAATTTTATGTTATAAACCATTATCTTTAAAGAATAGGACATCAATATAACAGAGTTATAAACAGTAGAATTGAATAGAATAGAATAATAATAAATAATATAGATCACAAGTAATTCATGTTGAAAATATTTTTTTACTTTTACCAATGGTTCGAAAAAACCTCTGTGTTGGGAAGAACCAGAAATAAACCCAGTGGGACTTTCTTTTTAAAAGTAAATTATACAGTACGAAAGTTGCAGTTGTAAACTATTATTTATTCTGTGGTTGTAACAAGAAAATAAGCAGTTGTAACATCGATGCACATTAATACATCGAACGTTACCTTGTGTGCATACGACTCACGTACGAGACCAATTACGTATATAGCAGCACATAATATAAAAGTGAATATAATTAGTATACAGTATTATTGACATGTTAGCCCTTGTAGCTCAAGAGCTAGGCGCCTGCTAACTTCATAGTACACGAACACCCCAAGTCCCTTCCGTCTCAATTTGAACCAGAGAAATTGTTCAGAACAACTTTAAGTGCTCATTTAGCACTTAGTTGCTCGGCGGAAAGTGTGCATTTGTGGCGCCTGTACTGTATACACTCAAACATTAAATGTTTCTCTTTGAATCTTTTCCATTTATTTTTTATAGAATACTAGAGACATGCCCCGGCTTCGCACGGTTGATTTCTGAATCTCGACAACAACGCCAGCTACCGGTAAAATACGTTGCGTAGTTTAAAAAATATATAAGCGTACAGACGGCGGGAAGCGGCTTTGTCTTCAACCATTTCAAAAAAAGGAAGAGGTTTTCAATTCGACTGTGTTTTTTTTTGTGTGTTACCTCAGAACTTTTTTCTAGGTGAACCGATTTTGATGACTCTTTATTGTATTTGAAAGCTGGTGCTTGTCATTTGGTCATATGGTCCTGTATAGATTTGATCAAGGTCTGAGCAGTAGTTCTTGTTCTATTATTTATTATGTGCTGTGCATTTATTCGTTTTTGAGTTATTCTTAATAACGCATATTTAATTGACTTCGAGTACATTGATGATGTTCTCATTTTATTTATATTGAAGTCGGTTGTACAAAAATTTTAATTTTACCACTTGTATACTATATATAGAAGAGACGTGTAACAAACGAGCACACAGTCCACCTGATGATAAGTGAATGCTGTGGCCCATAGACGCCCATTACACGGTAGGTTTTGCTGTCACTTTTACAACAATCACGGTTGTGATTGACGAATAACCTACCGTGTAATGCAGTGATTAACGCGCTCGCGCAGCCAGTCGCCACTCCCGCCAAACGTGCTTCAGTCAGAAAAAGATTTTATTTTAAATTTTGAGGCTCTCCTCGAGTTGTGGGAACCGAAAAATCCCGGGTATACGAATAAATATAAAAGGTAAGCTTATTTTCAAATAAAGACAAGTATCAATTATGCGCTCCAATAGGTCGGACATTGGCGCACGTTCCAGCCGCGCCATAAATTAAAATAGATAAAATGATATTAAATATTACAATTTTTCCTATTCGCTTCTTTCCTTTTTCTTTTCAATAAATAAAATTACAGTTAAATGGTGAATCGAAAATGAACTTAGTATATAGGTAGGTAAGTGTATTATTTACCAAACATCGGTAACCAGATGGAAGTTAGCGTAGAACATTCTTTTTTTTAACTAAACTGTGTGGCAATTAATTGCTGCATAAATGCTCCAGCAGAATCCGAAATTGCTCCACCTCTATTGTTATTAGTTATTTTATAATTAATTTTTTAAAAAATTAAGTTTCAAAAATTTAATTTTGCTATAAAGTATAAAATATCTACTTTTTTAAATTAAACTGTATGCCAATTAATTGCTCCTTAAATGCTCCAGCAGAATCCGAAATTGCTCCACCTCTATTGTAATTAGTTAATTTATAATTAATTTAAAAAAATTTAAGTATCGACAATTCAATTTTGCTATAAAACATAAAATATCTACGTTTTAAAATTAAACTGTATGCCAATTATTTGCTCCTTAAATGCTCCAGCAGAATCCGAATTTGCTCCAACTCTATTGCTATTAGTTAATTTATAAATAATTTTTAAAAAATTTAGGTATCGAAAATTTAATTTTGCTATAAAACAGAAAATATATAGTTTTTAAAAATAAACTGTATGCCAATTATTTGCTCCTTAAATGCTCCAGCTGAATCCGAAATTGCTATACCTCTATTGCTATTAGTTAAATTATAATTAATTTTTTAAAAAATAACCAGAAGGAAGTTAGCGTAGAACATTATTTTTTTAAATTAAATTGTATACCAATTAATTGCTCCTTAAATGCTCCAGCAGAATCCGAAATTGCTCCACCTCTATTGTTATTAATTAATTTATAATTAATTTTTAAAAAAATAACCAGAAGGAAGTTAGCGTAGAACATTATTTTTTTTAATTAAATTGTATACCAATTAATTGCTCCTTAAATGCTCCAGCAGAATCCGAAATTGCTCCACCTCTATTGTTATTAGTTATTTTATAATTAATTTTTAAAAAAATTAAGTATCCAAAATTTAATTTTGCTATAAAGTATAAAATATCTACTTTTTTAAATTAAACTGTATGCCAATTAATTGCTCCTTAAATGCTCCAGCAGATTCCGAAATTGCTCCACCTCTATTGTAATTAGTTAATTTATAATTAATTTAAAAAAAAATTTAGTATCGACAATTCAATTTTGCTATAAAACATAAAATATCTACGTTTTAAAATTAAACTTTATGCCAATTATTTGCTCCTTAAATGCTCCAGCAGAATCCGAATTTGCTCCACCTCTATTGCTATTAGTTAATTTATAAATAATTTTGAGAAAGAGTGATCCCATTTGAGTAATAGCGCCATCATCAATAGAATGTAGTAACATTCTATAGTAAAAGTCATTTTATCGAATAAAAATTCAAAACACTCAAAAGTGGTACGTATAATAGATGCTAAATGGCATAAACCCAAAAAATAATATTGATGGGTGAGTTTTGAAATTATGGATTCTTAGGAATGGATTAGACAACCATCTTAATATTTTTTTTGTGTTAGTGCCATCTAGCGTCTTTTCTACGTACCACCATGAGAGTTAACCAATTTTGATTTGATAAAATGACTACTTATAGAAAAAAAGAAATAGATGGAGCTATTAAAAAAATACGTATATAATAAATAGTAATTACCTAATTAACAAACTAAACAGATATGTTTCTTCTTAAGATCGAAGAAGATGATGCACTGTGACACATCTGTATATAATTTTATGTAAATAAATGAATGATACACACCATCTATGTTATTCAAAAGTAATTGATGAATAATTGAAATGTTTCACTGTAATACAAAAGTTTCACTTCTGTCGTATGTCTTCACGATACACACTGTTTTTTGTAACGCTTTTGTAATATATTTATATAAGTAACTAGCTGTGCCCCGCGGTTTCATCCGCGTCATCACATGTTGGAGGTGCGCGACATGACCTAGTTCAAGCATTTTATAATTGCAATTAAATATTTTATTTGATAGCAATGGATGGAAAATTTGCCATAATTAATGGAGCACTTTTATCTGTCGGCATATTATGTATGATGTAGAGCGAAGTTAAGTTTTATCCACTTTCCCTCCCCCTCCCGGTTGAGCAGTTCTCGCAGTTCTCACTGGGCGGCTAAGGTTTATGTGCCGTTCGCGCGCCCAGCCAAGTATTGAATTATTTTAATTTTACATTATCTCTTAAACTATGAGTCCAAATAGCATGGTATAAAGAACAAGGCTTATCTTCATAAAATTGTCTTGATGATGAAGTAACTTTTGTTCGTAAGGATAAATAGGCCATGCCTAATAATAACGCTCATAAATCACTTTATTAATTTTCAATATTTTTTGTCATAAAACACCTAATTATGGCTTATGTATAAGAAATAGACATATGGTATCGCGGACTTTTTTTTAGACGGAGTAAAGATCTATATTTTTCTAGAACATTTTATTTACGTATCCCTAAC